TAGTGGATTCCCGATGTCATACATGTATGCACAATCCCGTGGTTTCTAAACCTAAGGCTCTGATACCAAGTCTTGTCCCGCCCTAAACAGGGGTTAGTGACGTAGAGGCTCATTTAGAAGTTAAACATAATTAAGAAAGTAATTAAATATTTAGAAATATAGTAATCAAAACCGAAAGTAAAATATTAAAGCAATTTCCAAACAAGCCCCACATTTTTACTGAAATTAGATTATAAGAAAGTGATGGGGACTTGCACACTTTTCTAATAAAAAAAGTTTAAAACTAAGCCTCTGACATTATTCGGGGTCTCGCCCACAGGATATACAATATTGTATATACATAAACATGTAAATAACATTTACAGACATCAACCACAGTATCGATATTCGAAGTTTATAGTCTTAGAATTTACAATCCTTACATTTATACACAAGGATTATGGATTGCTCAACTCCTTCTCGAATTACACAAGCTAGGATTGTCAAAGATTGTCACTTACTCTACACTGCTTCTAGCATCGCCTGTGAGGGGTTTAATATTTATAGAAGCAAAATAAAACATGAGTGGAAGGCCCTGTAAGATGTATTTAAGAAAAATAACTTTATAACAAGTAAGTAAATGAATAAGTGAGTAAATAAAGATATCTAGTTCCAACACAATAGCCAGAACCTAACATCCCTTTTTTTTTAAAGGAAGTATAAATTTTAAATTCTATATTACAGGCATCAGTAAGTTATTTATAATATGATAAATTACTTACACAACCATAAGCACAAGCCTTAACACCACTATAGTGGCCCGGTCCAAGTTTTGGGTTCTGCCCCCGAGGATACACTCTACATATCCTATGTAGGCCATCAGCAGGCTTATCAGTTCGCAAGATGTCTTATCATAAGAAATCATTCATTAAAACTTTGAAACAGTCCGTTATGATTCCAATAGCTAAAATCAAGCTATTGTGTTAAAATACCTTTCTTTATCAAACATGTCCTTTCTTTAAAACATTTGCGTTGGCCAAAACTCTTTAAAAATAAGCTATCAAAGAAAAGGACAAAAAATCCTACCTCTCTAGTACCAAACCCGTTGCTAGCGTTGCGCTATCCTAGCTTCTGCTTCCTCAAAGCCTTTAATCCGATTCTTCAACTAGCATTTACACAGAACAACATTTTAGGATTCAATCCTTATCCCCAAAATGAATTAGTATTAATTGTACTTTTTGATTTCCTATTAGTGTGCCTTAGTCAAATTTCAAGTTCCATAATCAATTCATGACTCAATCATCATTCCAAGGATTTTGATCTCAAAACATAAATTAATGTAACACCTCGAGAAATTAAACAAGATTAATTAAGGTAATTAAGATTTATTAGTGTGCATAATCTGGTTTGATTAAGTAACTATTGATTAATAAATGTTTCTAACGTGTAAATTTTAATATTTCCAAGGAGTTTAGATATTTTCAGTAATTTTATTTTTACCCCAGAAGTGTGAGTAGACACATTTTCTGGACTATCTTTTAAATATTTTTACACCTGTTTTTCTTTCCTTTTTCTTTTTCTTTTCCTTTTTCTTTTCCTTTTTCTTTTCTTCCTTCTTCCCTTTTCCTTCCCATGCACCCTCACTCTCTCTCTTCGCTGTCGTTTTTCTCACTCTCACTCTCCCTCTCACTCTCTCTCTCTCTCTCCCGTTCAAATCTTCACTGAATTAACCGGATTTCTAACCAAAGAAGAATTTCAAGAAGTTTTCAATGCCAAGAGAAGGATTTGAGGTAAGATTTCTGAAAAAACTTCTCTTGAATCTCAAATTTGTTTATTAGAAAACTTATTTGTGGTTCGAAATGGATTTTGATGGATTTTGAGTAAAATCATGGTAGAAATTGGGGGTCTTTGGTTCTTTGGACTTGATTTAGTAACTAGAACCTAGATTTGGTTCTTTCCCCTTGAAATATTTCATATTTGAACTTGGATTTATAGGTTTTGGCCGGATTTTCTTTGAATCAGCCTTGTGGGTCGAGCTGCCTGGCTCCCACCGGTCAACCGGTTCCTTCTCCACTAGCCGACCAGTGGAGAATAACCTCTATGTCACCGGTCGACCGGCGTACATGAGGTTTGACCATGTTTTGTCTAAAAATGCTTTTTGACCTCAGATTTCAAAGAAAACCCAAATTAGCTTCATTTGGGACCTAAAATAGAGGGATTAACATCTTTAATCCATGATTTGGAATCAAAACCCTTAGAATGATGATTTGAAACATAAAATGATTTATGAAACTTGGAATTGGATTAAGGCGCACTAATAGGAAATCGACATTTATAATTGAGATTGAATTGCTTTAGGAATGCGAATTGGATCCTAAAGTGTTATTTTGTATCAGTGCTAGCTGAGGAGTCGAATTGAAGGCTTTGAGGAAGTAAAAGCCAGAATAGTGCAACGCTAGCCACAGGTTTGGTACTTGAGAGGTAGGATTCCCTATCCGTTTCTTCGATAGCCTGTTTTCAAAAGAGTTTTGGCCTTATAAATGTCTTAAAGAAAGGACATGTTTGCAAAAGAAAAGCATTTTAACACAATAGCTTGATTTTAGCAATTTAAATTATAATGAACTACTTTAGAAATTTTAATGAATGATTTCTTAAGATAAGAGATCTTGCACACCAGTAAACTTGCTGATGGCCTAGATAGGATATAGAGAGTGTATCCTTAGGCTCAGAACCTAAAACCCAGACCGGGCCACTACGGTGGTGATAAGGCTTGTGCTTGTGGTTGTGTAAGTAATTTATCATAGGATAAATTACTTGCTGATGCCTGTAATACGGAAAGTTTCAGTTATATGTCCTTTCAGAAAAAGGATGTGAGCTTCCGCCTGTTGTGTTGGAACTGAATATCTATATTTAATTGCTTATTTATTTATTTACTTGTTTATTAATTTATTTACTTGTTTATAAAGTTATTTCAAATTACATCCTACTGGGCCTTTCGCTCACGTTTTATTTGTTTTATAAATATTAAACCCCTCCCAAGCGACACTAGGAGTAATGCTGAATAGCTGAGAAAACTGCTACCGTCTCATTTAGTGAGGATTGTGATCATCCTCCTTGTGTACAAATGTAAGAATTGTAAATTCTCTAAACTCTAAATTTTAGATTTCTAGACTGTGGTTGATGTCTGTAATGTTATTTACATGTTCAAGTATGTACATACTGTATATCCTGTGGGTGAAGCACTGAATGATGCCGGAGGCTTAGTTTTAAAAAACTTATTTTTAGAAAGTATGCAAGTCCCCATCACTTTCTTGTGATTTAATTTTAGCAAAAATGTGGGGCTTGTTTAGAAATTTCTTTTAATAGTTTACTTTTGATTTGATTATTTTGTTTCCTAATATTTAATTACTTTCTTAATCATATTTAACTTCTAAACGAGCCTCCACGTCACTAACCCCTGTTTGGGGGCGTGACAATTAAAGAATCTAATCCATCTACTTTAGGTTCTCAAATGAAACTAATTTGGATTCTCTTTGAAAATCAGGGTCAAAATAGCATTTTAAGGTAAATCTGGTTCATATCACGTGTGCACCAGTTGACCGGTGATAGAGAAGTTATTCTTCGCTGGTAGAGAAGGAACCGGTCGACCAGTCCGGTCAACCGGTGGGGACTGAACAGATCGGCCGACATGGCTAATCTGAAGAAAACATAGCCAAAACCTGCAAATCCGAGATATTTCAAAGGAAAACTACTAAATCCAGGTTCCAAATGACAAATCAAGTCCAAAGAGTCAAAAATCCCCAATTCTTATCATGATCTCAACCAAAACTCTTCAAATTCAACCTTAAACTGAAAATAAGTTTTTCCAAAGGAGAAATTCAAGATCATTCAAGAGAAGTTTTTCATAAATCTTACCCCAAATCTGTCCCTTGAAGTTGAAAACTTCTTGAAGTTCCTCTTTGATTCAAACTTCTTGAGAAATGGTGAAAATTTTGGAGAGAAAGAGAGGAAGAGCTACGAGAGAGAGAGAGAGAGTGAGCTGAGAGAGAATGGAGAGAGAGATTGAGCTGAGAGAGAATGGAGAGAGTGAGAGGGTTACGTGGGAGAGTAAGGGAAAAGAAGGAAAAAGAAAGAAAAGAAAAGATAAACATCGAAAGGTATTTAGAAGAATAGATTAGAAAGTGTGTCTCCACACACTTCTAGAGTTGAAATATAAATATTGAAAATGTTAAAATCTCTTGGAAATATTTAAACTTACACATCAGAAACATTTAATGAACATAATTAATTAATTAAATCAGATTAAACACACTAATAAATCTCAATTATCCTAATTAATTCTGTTTAATTTCTCAAGGTGTTACAGTTTTCATTTCCGTTTTTTATCTTTAATTGTGTCAAACACCATTTTGGAATCGTTTTCATTTTTTTTTCTTGAAAAACGTGAAAAATAAGAACATGAACAATTCTAAACACAGCAAACATTTAATTGTGCTAAACATTGTTTGAAATCGTTTTCATTTTTTCTTTCTTAAAAAACGTGAAAAACAAGAACAAGAACAACTCTAAACATGGCAAACATCTTGTTCTTTCTCTCTTTCTTTTTTAGGAAAACATCCTGTTCTTTATGTATATTATAAATTCTCTCCTGAGCTAAGCAAAAAAAAAAAGATGTGAATTAATATTAATTCTCTTATTACTAGCTGTACATCTGTTTGGCATATATAGCGCCCACTTGTTAAGACTAGCAGTATTGATCATTAATAATAGGGGTGTGCTAGGCATGATAACAAATAGTCAACCCGTACCAATTGATCAAGACCACCCACCTTATGAAACGTTGACCTTTAATGAAATTAACTGTTAAATTAACATAATTTGAAAACTTTAACTTGATTTCTTATTCTTATTAGTTAGCGCATTCCATGATTGTTAGTACTACTCCATATTATATGACCCTTAAAATGACTCTCTCAAGATAATCCGAGGCTTGGGAAAAAAAAAAAAAAGTTTAAACAAATATGATGATCACACATTTCAGCCACCACCATCCTTTGAGTCCATACCAAGTAGAACTAGATCATCATGATCATCATCAGAAACACGATGATCAGGACCATGATCATGATCATGATCACGATGACCAAATCACCATCTGTTCAGGCTGTGAGCTAGAGCTGATTTCAGGCTCATCAGCCTACAAGTGCAACAAGCCCGGCTGCGATTTTCGCCTCCACGAGCTGTGTTCTGAGTTGCCACGAGAGAGTCGGCACCCTTCTCACCCCCAACACCCTCTCACTCTCCTCTTCACCCCTCACTATTCCTTCACTTGCAAGGCTTGCGCGGGCTCCGGCACTGCCTTCATCTATAGCTGCACCGCTTGCCGGTTTGACCTTCATGTCTCGTGCATCGCTTTGGCTGAATCCGTGAGGCGGGTTGATCACGAACACCCGCTCGAGCTCGTGTTTTCATCGAAGGAAGAGGAGTGTTGTGGTATTTGTGGTTGCAGTTTTGTGGAGGGTTGTTGGGCTTATTTGTGTAGGGGATGCGGTAGTTATGGCACTCACCTAGAATGTGCAACTTCTGAAGAAGAAGAAGAAAAAGAACTGTTGGTTGGCTCGGGCGAGAATGAAGAGGAAAGAGGAATCCCGGGATCGCGATAAGGAAGAAGAATCTACATAGGAGGAGAAATTTGGGATGATGTTGGTGTTGATGTGGTTGCAGGCTTGACTTAATGGCAATTTCATATTTATTCAATATCCTAGCAATGTTGAAAAACAGAAGACGTATTTTCCAATTTTATTTGCAACTTTTGAGAGTTTCTGATGTAGTTGGCTTTCAAGAAATTTTCATTTTTGATGAATTAATTTGCATTTATTTTTGTATTTTTTTTTTCTCAAAGGGATTTGCATTTGCTTTTTTCATGAGGACTTGCGGCGATTCATCGTCTCTATCAAACTTATGCTTTGAAAAATGCAGAACTCTATGAAGGGAGACAAAAAATTAAAGAATTTAAGGGAGATAGATTTCCTAAATCTTCTCCATTTTTGGTTTGATTGATTCTCATGAAGAAAACATAGAACAACCATATTGATCATTTTTTTTAAGTGGCCGAATCTTGGGATTTATTCTAATAATTTTCCTAGTTTGTTTTGGATGCGAACAGCTTTCTCATGGTTTCTCCATCAAGCAAGAAAAATTGGAAAATCACAAATGTTAAATCAGAAATCTGAATATATAAACAAGCATTCAATGATTAGAACAACAGAAATCTGAATATAGGCAAAGTCTCATTAGCTGAAATTTGTACATATAAAAATTGGTACATTTGAATAAAATCCTCCAATGGGAGCAATAAACAGAGACCACTTTTTTTTCCCAATCCGATCAAATTCTCATGTAACTTTCACAAATGGACTATTGATCAGGTTATGTGTGATCAAGTTTCAGAACCCCCACTTGTCAAATATAACTCTTAAACCCTTAAATAAAATACATTAGTTTACCTTAATTTAAAGCTCAGAGCTCATCTTCCACCCTCAAATACTCTCCAATATCTGCCTGGTGCAGCACCAGAATGCCATTCGTGTCCAGCTTCCTACAATCCTGGGTTGATTGGGTGGCAATTCCAAAACCCGAAGGCACGTCGGACATAAAGAACATGATGACCCCATCTCCGGTTGCAATGTTCTCCATAATCCTCCCCAAGCCACCTTTGAGAACATAGTGTAACGACCCGAACCTCCATCTGGTATGATATTGTCCGCTTTAGGCCTGAGCCCGCACGGTTTTACTTTTTGGGCTTCACCCCAAAAGACCTCATACCATTGGGAGGTAGTGTCATTTTTTATAAATTAAGACCCATCTTCATCCCCAAGTGATGTAAGACTGCACAACTTAGCCTTTCTTAGCCTTGTGCCTCAAGGGCTTGATGGTTGTTATAATCACCCCTCCTCATAGGAGTCCAACGTCCTCGTTGGCCACATTTTTGGCTGGGTAGAGGCTCTGATACTATATATAACGACCCGCACCCCCACCTGATATGATATTGTCCGCTTTAGGTCTGAGCCCGCAAGGTTTTTACTTTTGAGCTTCACCCCAAAAGGCTTCATACCATTGGGAGGTGGTATCATTCCTTATAAACCAGGACCCATCTTTATCCTCAGGCGATATGGGGCTGCACAATTTACTCTTTCTTGACCTTGTGCCTCAAGGGATTGATGTTTGTCACAATTACCCCTTGAGGCATAAGACGAAGAAATGGTAAGTTGTGCAGTCTCATATCGCTTGGGCATGAAGATAGGTCCTGATTTATAAAGAATGACACAACTTTTTAATAGTATGAGGCATTTTAGGGTGAGGCCCAAAAATAAAACAGTATGGGCTTAGACCCAAAACGGACAATATCATACTAAGTGGGGGTGCGGGTCGTTACACATGATTCCGGTAGAGAAACGACATCTCAGAGGTGGGTTTAAGCTAGTTCTTAGTGTTTGGCATTGGAGGCCAATGGACTGAGACACTGAACAGGGAGGTGAAAATTGCCTCCGTGGGTGATCTTGCCAATGCAGGTGCCGAGAGAAATGAGGTTGGAGCGGGCTATGTTGGTGGCACGCTTGAAGAGGGACTCACTCACATAGTAGACCTTGATCTTGTTAAGGCGGCAGCAGTAGCGGCCAGGGTTGGCATCCGGGCCTTCATGAGAGGGGTTCTCGACTATGTTCTTAAGGTTGTTACTCGTGAACTTGAAGATCTTCTCGAATACTGATGTTATCTCTGTTTCGTCCAAAGGCCGCATTTTCGTTAACAGAAGATGGGGTTGGCTATTCTTTTCAGATGTCTGAGCTTTCTTCCTCTGCTAGTCGATAATCAAAATATTCATGGTCATATTATCAAAATAAACATGTATGTAGGTGACTATAATACAACCAAAGAGAAAAAAGAAAAAGATACTAAGAGGTTGTTCTTTTGTATTTTTGAGTTATGGTGATTTGAGTGATGATTTAGAGTTGAGTTCGAGTTATAATTTGAGTTGAAGTTGTAACTTGAGTTTGTGTTTGGATGTACACATTTGAGTTATGATTTGAATTGAGAATCCTTTTGAGTTTGTGTTTGGGTGGGTCAAAACTTAAATTTGTATTTAGATAGTATTTTAATAAAAACCCAATGGTGATGAAAAATTTTAATATGGTATATGAGGGGTTTTATTCGTCTTTTCGTTATGAATGCATAGAAAAAAATCATCTAAATCAGAATTAAAACAAAAAAATTATGGCATTTTAAAGAATAGAAAAAATATTGTTCATTAATTTGAGTTCGAGTTTCTGAACTCGAGTTGAAAGGAAAACTTGAACTTGAATTTAGTCCCAAACTCGAGTTCAAATTCGAGTTCAAACTCAAATTTTACAAAAGAACATGAACTTAAATAAAATTGTAACTCAAGTTCAAACTTTTTCTGAGTTTTGTTCCAAAAGAACAACCCTAAGTTGTTAAAAACTGAAAATAGGCGATTAAGTCAGTCATATTCAATTGGTAAGTGAAGATTGGTTTGCTTGAAATTCTGTGAAAACCACACATTTGCAGATTGATTGTTGTTTGTCAAGTAAATAAATAACATATCCCAACAAATCCATACTTTGGATAGTATTAAACAGAGTAGGATACAAGCACCAAGAAAACAGAAAGCTAGCTGAAAACAAACATTGAATTTCACCATAATTATTTCAACACCAAGAAAACTATAATATATATATATATATAAGGTTTTAAAAGGCGAAAACGGGAATTGAGGTATTTTGTCTAATCGAGGGGAGGCGTAAGTCTCAGATCGCATCGAGACGTAAGCCTTGAATGTAATTAAAAAAATCATAAAAATGAAGAATATCCATAAATATGCAACAATAATCAATTCACAAACTTAGTTCATCACAAAAACCATAAAAACACATAATAAGATAGTGCATAAAGTCTAGAAGTGCCAAATGCGGTAAGTTTTAGTCTTAGTCTAACTCTTTTTTCTTTTTAATATAACTTTAATCCTTGAGTCTTAGTCTAACACTCTAAACGACTAAGACTAAGACTCAAGGATTAAAGTTGTATTAAACAAAAAAAAAAAAAAGGTGTTAAGTTGTAATTAACTGATGATCATGTTATTATTAAAAACAAATAAAATCTGAATATAAAATCTCAATGGGAAACTAAAATAAGAAAAAAATAAGTTTTAGGATAAGAAGTCAAGATAGAGTTAAAAAGGAACTAAAATGAATAAATAAATATTGTTTTAGGACAAAAGGAACCAAAGTGAAAAAATAAAGTTTTACGGAAAAAGGGTCAAAAAAGACCAAAACAAAAAAGAAGAAATGACTAAATTTTCGAGTAAAAGGAACCAAAACAAAAAATAAAATAAAATTTTAGGAAAAAATAAAAAAAAAGAGTCAAAAATAGATAAAATGGAGAAATAAATAAGTTTTGAGGTAAAAGGAGCCAAAACGAAAAAAAAAATAAAGTTTTAGGTAAAAAAAATAAAAAAAGAGGTCAAAAAAGGACTAAATTGAATAAATAAATAAGTTTTAGGGCAACAAGAACAAAAAAAGGGAAAATTTTCAGGAGAAAAAGTAAAAAATAAAATAAAATAGGACTAAAATGAAGAAATAAATAAGTTTTAGAGTAAAAAAAGTTTTAGGGCAAGAAGCAAAGAAACATTGTCAATAAAAAACTAAAAGGAAAAAAATGAATAAATTTTAAGGCAAATGGAACCAAAATGAAAATGAAAATAAACTTTTGGGACAAAAAGAAAAAATAAAATGTTAAAAGGACTAAAACAATAAATACGAATAAGTTTTAGGATGAAAAGTAAAAACAACCTAAAAAAAAGTGGGAAAGTTGTACACTTTCAACCAAAACTACGTCGTTTTGGTAAAAGGAACCAAAATGAAAATGAAAATGAAAATAAAATTTTAGGACAAGATGAAAAAAATAAAAAGTTAAAAGGACTAAAATAAAAAAATACGAATAAGTTTTAGGATGAAAAGTAAAAACAACCTAAAAACAGACAGAAAAAAAGTTGAAAAGTTGTACACTTTCTACTAAAACTACGTCGTTTTGGTTAAAAATGCATTATTCAAAGTACACTTTCGCACTTCAATTAACACTAAATGAGTAATAAACAAAAAAGAAGAGGGACAAAAAGGAAAGAAGAAGGTTAAAAAAAAACTTCTCCGAGAAGTTATCTACAGCATTTAGTATATACCACAGAAATGATAAAAATGCCCAAACAAAAAACAAATGAAGGAATAAGAAGCTGAGGATAAAACGATAAAAGCAAAAGTGACTGGATACAAACGGAATTTTTTAGAAGTTGAGGGACAAAAAAGACTGAAAGCTAAGGGCAAAACGGTAATAGCAAAAGTGAGAGGATACAGAAGGAATTTTTTAAAAGTTGAGGGACAAAAAAAATTAGACACTGTTCAAGGAAGGACTGCCTCCTATAGTATATAGTATATAATTTCATTGAAAACCACTAACGATGCGGGTTATAATAAAATGGCTGCTAAAGGTTAATCTTTGTTATAGGCCCCTTTTTTTTTTTTTTTTTTTTTTTTTTTGGCTAGTTACATGACCCCAGATCTATTTTAACACCCTTTTATTTAGGGATTAAACAAGCCAAATTATTATAAGAAGTAATGTAAGACGGGAATATAGAATGAAACTTTTTAGTTTATCTAAAGGATTTCCATATTACAATATTATGAGAAAATTGTTGAATTTAATTTTAAAATACATGAGATTAGATTTTTATCTTTTATTTTTTATTAATATCATTTTCACTAATATAATTGTTTAATTAAAAATTATATTAATTAAGAATACAAATAAAAATCCAAACTCACACAATTTATAGGATATTTATCTCATTTTTCGTAATATTTTAGTAATTGAAGTTAAATTACTTGTGCACATATTGCCTAACCAATTGCAAATCGATTCAAAGCTTAGTACCTTTAGTGTTGCACTTGGTTAAAAATAAAATAAAATAAAATACGTATGCCAAGTTATTTATAGAATTTTTTATTGAATAGTGATGATAGATTCTTAGTCCAAAAAAATAAAAATAAAAAAGAGAGAATAGTGGGTAATAGATTAGTCATCCCTACCCCTATTACCCAATAATGATTAAACAATAGTAGTTTTAATGCCAAAAAAAAAAAATACAAAAAAAAAAAAATACAAAACTCAACAAACTGGTTATATATACATTTGACAATCACTTTAAATGTGTACACACGTATATATACAAATATTATATACATATTATCTCTGTCCAAAATTCTTTGAGAACAATGCGATATTGCATCTCTAATCTATATAATATAACTATGACCTGTAAAAGAGAGCAGAACAAGAGAAATGAGATATAGCCTATTTAGTTTTCAGATTGCAATCATCTAAAGCAAAAAAATAAAAATAAAAAAACTATGTACATTTCACCAATCACTTCAAATGGATGATCCACTAATGATCCTTGGTGATGATCAAACTATTCTTTTCTGTTCGAGGATCGATCCTTCCTATGTCCGCCGAGGATACGGGAAATCTGCAGGCCTCTGCTGAAGGCTTGGTTGAACAACATTCGAGTTTGAAACTCCGAAACGAAAGGGAACCAAGCCAAGAATGCAACAGGAGTGAACAGCAGCATGCCCATGACTATCTCGTAGCAACGAGCAAGTGTTCGAATTGACCCCCAAAATCCCGCTTTTACGATTAGAGGCTTGCAAGCTTGTGCAATCTGTTTTAGCGAAAATAAGGATTTATTATCAGCAAACTAGAAACCAATGAACAAAAAATGAGGGAAGAAAAACAGTTTGAAGAGGACTAATTTCAATCTTCGTGGATATAAGCTTGTTGGAAGGACTAAAATGATGGACTCACCAAGAGCAATCCCCATCCAGTCGGCATGAATCCGAGAATGATGGCAATGATGTCGCGGAGAGTCATATGGAGCAGGACTATTAAGGTGATGAAAACAGCCACGATGGATAGGAAAACAATTCCTTTAAGAAGTCGGAATAACAGCTGAAACTCTGCGCTAAACCGTCTCCTTCCAACAGATGCAATCTGCAACAGTTCAGCCAAGTAAATAAAATAAAATCCATAAGAAGAGGAAACAATCATGCATAACATTAATATGAAATATATTTGTTCTACTCACCTTCGACAATAATAGGACTACAACGATGATAAGCAAGGAAACACCATAAACCTGCATGTCCCATGAGAAGAATGTCAAAATTTCTAATCCTACTGATTAATTTGTAATAATATGCAAGGCATAAGAGAATGTTGAAAGGGAAAGAGCTATTATTAAGCATAATACCCAAAAACTTCTGGTTTTTTCAGTGATGGTCAGGTGATATACAAGGCCAAACTGATAGATGAAAAAGCGCAGTGCTAATAGTATCTCGACAATAGTACCGCGCTTCCCCGAGTAACGAAGATGCTCTATTTCCTTTTCCCACCAGGATTCCCAACTTTTTTCGGGAGAGACTCCGATCCCTCCGCGATTGCTTATCCACTTATTCCAATCATTCCAGTCGTCGACAATCTTTTGCCACTCAAAACCGGATGGATTGAAGAGGAAAGGAGCAAAAAGCCATGTTCCGACCATAAACCATATTGAAATTGTGATGTAGATGTATGCGCCTACACTTCTATAAGAATAACTGAAGATGTGGTACACAAGAAGCAGAGTCATTAGCTCAATGCCCTTGACGAAATGGCTCCTCGAATATAGTCTATAGTTTTCGGCAAATTTGGCATGGAACACCACGAATCCTCGGCCTGTTCCTCTGTATTCGGCTCCTCCGTGAAGCAAAGTTCTTCCATAGTAGTGAGTCTTTGTTCCAAGAGAAAATGTGAAAAATAGCAAGGCCAGTTGTAGTTGCATTAGAATGAAATCGGTTAGCGCATTTCGGAAACCCCTTTCCAAACCAATTTCCATAAACATAGGCAAGGCCATCAAAAATCCAATTTGCACAAACGACTGAGAAGCAAGTGCTACTTGGAGAGACTTATTATCTCTAATGGCTCGCTTTGTTCGCAGTTCCTCATCAAGTCCGCTAAGGACAAGATAAACACGGCCGTAGAGATACACGTAGACTGTGAGCACGCTCAGCTGTCAAAGAAGAAACAATTCAGTTTGCATAACTACAAAGAATAATGTCAGGAGTACTAACTTTTTGAGACCAACCGACATGTATGTGAGCTTTCATTCTTTTATTAATCATGTTTAAAGTATTGTCATGTCAATAGTATTAAAAAGCTGCATCTACTAATGCAAATATGACAACTCATCTGCCACGAAAGTTGGTATCGAAAAGTTAGTACACCTAGCACTAATCTAAACTACAAATGATGATTTAATTGATAGAGAAGGGAAGAAAGAAAAGTGAATATGTTCCTACCAAGGTGTTGAAGTAGAAGCCAACTGTGGTAACATAGCATGATAACATGCGGAAGAAATCGAATCGATGACCAAGTCTATAGATGTCGCGACTCATCGTCTGCTCACCATTCCCATTAGCTATTTTCGCCTCAAACATTGATATCTGGTTCAGTCCAACATCCCTCCCTTTACCAACTTGTATATATTCATGATGGGTAACATTACCCTCGCGCAGTGTAGAATTGAAACCTACACAGAACAAAATAAGTAAGTGATGAAACGAAACCTTGTGTGGATAAGTGATGAAATGAAACCTTGTGTGGATCAAGGCAGAAGAAGCTCTAGAAAGGAAAAAATACCTGCAAATATGTCCTCGCTTAAATTGATGATTTTGGAAGCTTTACTAACACCCCCTCTTGTCAGGTGAAATAGTCTATCAAAGACATCAGGATGACCGTAGTGGAACCGAACCCTGAGCAAGGAGCAAAACATTCAACAAAATTATCGTTGAATCAGAAGAAAACTTCAGCGATTTTGCAATCCTGGCCCATAAACAGGACCATCAGAACTAGAAGTTCAATTGGCTATAGAAACATGAATCTATTATTTTATAAGATAGACAATTTTAAGATAGTATAAAATAAAAACTTAAAATCTACTGAGAAAAAAAGTAAAATTCTTACTTCAGAGGGTTAGCCAACAATCTCTGTCCAATAGTAACAAAACTAGTCTCCTGATTCGACATAAACCAAGCAAGAGAAGAGACACTGAAAAATTCAAAAAAACATTACATTAGCATCAGAAGCCTACCATGCGATCAAGGTCCAGTTCGGTATTGCTTTTGGAGTCTCCAAAAGTAATTTGCAAATAAAATGATGCAGAATAGTGTGTTTGGTAAAACTATACAAAAATACTTTATTTGGAGAAGATAGATATTTTTAGCATTTCTTTTATGCTTCTACTTCTATCGAGCTCGAGTCTCGGAAGATTTTGAAACGACAGTAAACACAATTAAATACCTGCCAGTGAATATATGCTCCCTAAGTCCCAGAATAGTTGGATATCTCACACCATCATGTTTTACAAGTAATTCTTGCAACAAGTTCCTCATTTTGAAGGCTTCTTCTAAATAATTGTCCTGTTCAATGATGAGTAAAAATCCTGTTAGCTTAGAAAGCTCCAAATGCTACACACACTAACAGATATCTAGAGAAGCCCACAAGTAAAATGGTAACATGTCACCTGGTTCATATCTATTGTTTGCAATCCTTCCCCGCGTGTGAATATTATGGCGTGATTTTGATTTTCAGGCTTTCCCTCTCCCAAAAGTGCAGGCCCGGGCAACTTTATCTTGTAAATCAACTGTCCAACAAGATCTTCACAATCAGTTCCAAAGTATTGCAATTATAGTTCATTGAGACTGCATTTTGCAGCAATGCTTTGTTTCGTTGATGCACATAGTTTACATGATCTCTTGAGTTTGAAGAATTGATTGTTTTGAAAAACCAAATCTAGTTAATTATCTATGTGAACACCACCTAGCTTCGGATCGACTTTTATATTGATTTTTTATTTAAAAACTCAGTCTTAGAACCACACCCGTTGCTAATGATCTTCTAAATTCCATAAAAAAGCCCTTGGAGCGGATTTGAAAGAACTAGCTCATTGCTTATGTCCATCACTTCGAAGCCTAGAGAGCTCGGTTCATATGAGTAAAAGTCTCAAGTGCTTATATTAATCTTACTTGAAGTGCATTTGTTTCTCCGTACTATAATAAGCTTCATTTACTTCATATAATTTCTAGATTAATATAGAAGATTTAAAGGGATTGAATTACTTTAATAACTTCTATACATGACTATTGGTTATTTTGTACTACACTTTTCAAGCTCAAGACATTACCTGGTCTAAACTTTGATCTGGCTCCGTAGAATCTCTTCGCTTTGCGGGCACCCTCACAAGCTTCGAGTAATAGACCTTTTGAACTTTTGGTTTGAACTTATCTTTACTTTTATCTATGGATTTCTCTTTACTTGCTTCTATGGACTTCTCTTCCTTAATCGGTTCTTCAACCTCATCAATGTAAGCTACTCGAAGAGACGGGTACCTGCCACAAGGAAAGAAAGCAGATTTGGCCATTAACATCTCACAAAAACAATAATACAAACATGAAGATAAACAATGAGACTATACATACGTTCTCATAAGCTTCAAAATGTCTTTCGCGCTTTGTTTGCCTGAACGTTTGTCAAGTCCGTATTGCTGGCATGACACAACATATGTGAACTTCATATCAGCTATTGCTTGACATTTTACCATTAATGAACTTTCGTTTAGATCTGCGCTGTTCAATTCCGCAGCCTTGTAGCCTTTCATGAGTTCTACATAAAAGTAATGAATAAAATATTAAAGAAGTTACTTCTTTTGTGGGCAACACACATTTACAAACTATTTAAAACAAAACTTAATTACCATCATCCTTGGCCATATCCAAGAAGGCCTGAAGTTCCAAAGCTTTTCGATAGTACATCATACCACGTACTTAAATGTCGAAACCATGAAACATAAACAAGCACAATAAGTAATCAAAATATAAACATATGGTATGAGGAAAGAAAAGAAAAAAAAAAACTAAACAATTAAACACAAGCATATAAAGAACACGGACTCAAGGATAAAAATGTTATCTACACTAGTATATCAAAAGTATCGAGAAATATCGAGAAACTTCATCAAGAATTATCATCATTCTTAACATAAAAGTCCTTGATTTATGGATATTTCATTGTCTCAAGAAATAAATCGGTATGGTCATTTTACGAAGATATCAACGATTTTTTCAATCCTTGAACGTACTTAATTGTCGAAGATAGACAAAACATATGTAGGAAGAATTCATAGCCACAAATAGGAAGTCAATATGACATACAAGGCATTAACAAACACACACGCGCATAGATTGATTGATAGATAGATAGAGAGAGTTTATACCTGTTTTTGTCAATGTTTGACCTCTATATGATGCCCAAAGACAGAGTTGTTCTTCTAGTTCTACTCTACTCCTGAGTTGTTCTTCACTTGTACAGTTCATACGCTCGAGAAAGTTTGTCCATTCATCTGTAATACATGAATTAAGTAAAATAGAATTACCAATTTGAAATTGAACATGATATCAGGAGAAAAAACAAAGAAAAAGAAAAAGGACCTGGAAAGATCTTTTGCAAGTAAAAAAGGATAGAAACTCCATCTTCGTTGGGTTGTTCCAATAGATCTATAGAGAATGTAACTTCCTCCACGTAGTATGGTGTTAGAACTCTGTCAAAAGATATAATAAGAATGGCATAACAATATATGTTGCAACTATATTATTTTTCAACTAAAATTCAGAATTATGGATACATAAGCAGTAAGCAAATGTATTTAAACAACAAGAAGAATAGTGAAAACATAATATTTGTCAATAATGTTTTAGGTTTGACATGCGCACGGTCTCACTTAAGTGAGTGAATATGGAACAGACCAAGAACAAAGAGAAAGACACAGATTTAGAAAGGTTTGTTTTCTTTCTCTGTTTCTCTTTTTCTGTATTACAAATTTGACTAAGCATTGCTTTAAATTTAGCTTATGTATGCATGAAACGAAGAATGCAAGCCACTTACGAAAAGGAAAGCATGTTCCAAACTTTGGGCGCAGGAGGCATGTCCATAAACAATGAATTGGAGAAGAAAGATATGCGCCTTCTTGCTTCCAAGTTCGAAGGCACATCCATAGCTGACTCCTTCTCTGTAAGCAATAGATGAAGTCTTTGGATCTGTGGAAACAATATGGATTCATATGTGATCAAAATTTATATCAAAAAGGAACTACAAGTAGTTACATAAATTTATGCTAGATGAGATAAGAGACAAAAAGGATAAGCATCGAATATAAAAAGGCTTTAAACCAGATATAAGAGATGCATGTACTATATGAGGGCAGCTTCTTATCTCATATTATCTGAATAATGACCAGGGGAATCTTGTGGTTGCAAGCTTAACCTAACAGTAAATCCACAGCTACCGTCTAGTGTTCCAAATCCCCATCCTGAGTTTAGAAAAAGAAATAAAAAAGAACTCACCTTTTCTTTCCAAGCATCGGTTTCTGAGGTCACGGGAAAATTAAGCGCGCCAAAAAACCTATATTGCCGATCAAGCGGTGTCATCCCCTCATCTGTATGAGAAGGTCCACCGTGGGTCGACTCGAGCAAGCTTTAGGGAAGAAAAGAAAATGCCAAATAAAAGTTAAAAGAAAAATAAAATAAGATTATTGCCACAAATATATTGTATTAAGAAATAGTTTCTTCTAATCATTTACCTAGGGTACTCATCCTCCATAATGTCCCTTGTCACAATCTCTAGCATATTTAGCAAGACAATTGCAACATCATCCTTGTCTTCTTGTTTGTTTGCTAACTATAGTAGTCAGACCAATAAAGTTAAAGTTAGTTATCATCATCTTACCATAAATATGAAAAAAAAAATAACATATAAATACACACACACACACACACACATATATTTGGAAAAATGGATTACCAAATGTTTTATCAGCTTAACAGATTGTTCATAGAGGTTAGGCAGAGCACTCAAGTTCAATTCTTCTATCAGAGTGCGATTTTCAATATAGCCATCAACTGTGGAGAAAATATCCTTTATGACCCTGGTGGCAGAAAACAATCAGAGAAATGAAAAGAAAACTAACAGAGGAAATGAGAAACTCCCATGTTATTATGTATTCAAGATTGTAGTAAGACTTACACTTTTTCACGTTCTCCTAGAACTAGAGACTTGAAAATACTTTTGAATGAAAGGTAACACTCGTGAACAGCACAGCACATATAAGTGTCGTTACTCATTCTCTTTTCTAGCTCGCTGTCTTTTCCGACACTATATTTCGCCATATCTAGTGCTATTGGGATCTAGAAATTAAGTAGAAGTTGATAAATATGTTGGTCTTGATCAGCCTAATGGTAAGCATAATGATAATAAAAAGAAATAAAATTATTTAACCAGAAGATAGACCTTGCTAGCAAGTAAGAAAGGTGGCCATTGGATTAGGTCGACGTCAGGGTCAGCCATGTATGGGACAAGCAACAAGCTCTTCTCCCTGAAACACATGAACAACTTGCATTATAAGCATTGCATTACAACTCTTTTTCGGAGTTTCTGATACCAACTCACTATGACAGGAGAGTTATCATCTTTTCATTAGTAAATGCACCATGTTAATACTAACGTGGTAATTTTTCAAACACCTACTAATAAAAGAATGATTACTCAAATACCACGTCAATTGGGTTTGAATAGTTGAGACCTTTAACATTATTGAATTATATGTGGTATAAAGATTCTAATTCACAGTTTGATTAGAATGACAAAGTAAAATAAGGAATATGTTGATTTCTTTATTTCATTCTACCAATTATTTATTAGATCTTCGTCTCTGAAACTAGTGATTATTTCATTCCACAACTGAGCAAACTTCGCTGCCTTCTCTTTCTTAGATAGGACCTGAAATGACCACAAACTTGTTTAGGACCAAAAACAAGAGATTTTAGAACAGCCAAAATGGTTAATATGTTGAATCGAAAGTACAAAAGCAGCAGCAGAACCTCATCATATTTGCGAGTGAAAGCATCCTTTAGACTCCTCTTTTTGACGGGCTCATTTGTATCCTTCGGAATCAAACAAGCATTAAAAGCACCAGGGATCGATTGAAATCGAGACCTTAACATTACCAGAGTCCGAATCTGACACAAAGAGAAGTAACAGTTTTATGCTTCAGATTCAATGAAAACAATAAATACGAAAGGTTTATATAAAAAAGAGAGAAATTTTCCACCAACCTCACCAAGGCGCCTAAATGCGCCATATATGCCTCCAAATATTGTGGAGAAAATAGCATACCAAATTTGAGTGTCCATAAAGTAGACCTACAAAGAATAGTCATTGTTAAAAGCTCAATCAAGGTGAAAAGATGTAAGAAAATGAATGGAAAGTATTACATCAGGGTGTAAAGACACATACGAGGACAATAGGAGACCAAAGTGTAATCACAACACCAATGTTTTTCTTGGCTGCAAAGAGTTAATGATGAGTTAAACAATTCTACTATAATAGGTGTAGACGTGAAAATCTACGGTTACATCAGAAAATGAATATAGTTAGTAAAACAGAATCATAAACGTAACAATTAGGGCCATCGATCATCGTTTGATCTTCACTACCACACTTATTGTAACAAGACACAAATAACATCAATTATATAAACCGATTCTACTCTTAGCTTCAAAAAGTAAATTGAAGAGTTATATAATTTGACTATAATAGGGAAATTATTATAAATTATCAAAATCATGTCCTTACCATTGGGGAAGAACTCATGCCATTTATAGCTTCTAATGTGAAATTCCATAATGGTTTTTGTTGGACCTACAAGAGGCTTAATCTGCAACAAAGGCAAGATTGTCATATACAATTACCATTCCCAAAGACTCAAATTTATTTGATTCAACGATATTAAAAAAGTATGTTGCTTTGAAGTTACTATAAATGCAAATATAAGTAAATTTATTTGCATGGACAAATAAATATGAAATCCCACTTCACAATGTTCTTTTCAAATAATTCATGTTTGTGCCTTCCATTTCATAGCTCTTGACCTAGCTATACAGAGCTAAACATCAGAAAAGGCAACTTTTACAACATAAAAAAGGAAAAGTCAAAATGGCCAAGAAAATTTTCAATAATTCAATTTGCACTATCAATTTCAAAGATACTAATTCACAATAAAATTAACAAGCAAAATACCAAGCCAAAAAATGATGAAGAGTTAGAGTTCCTTCTTACTAAAACGAGGAACAACAAGTATGCTAGTGGAACAGAAAGGACTCTAATGTGCAATTATGGATTAGAGATTAATTACCTCAACATAGTAACTAAATGCTAATTTTGATGTAAGCAAGAGAACCCAAAACATCGTGTACCTAGAAAATAAAAGCAATTTTACAATTTATCAGTAACACCAAAGCATTTCTAGTTCATGCTATTCCAACAGGGGGGGAAAAAAAAAAAAATATATATATATATATATATATATCAAAGTTATGTGTTTACATGAAAAGGGAAAACAAGCTCTCGTGCATTCCCCTTCCAACATAGAGCCGAGGCTGCAAAAAAAACAAAAAATAAATAAATAAATAAAGATTAAAAAATAAAAAGTCGATGAGATTGAAGACATACTGAACAAAGATAACATAAAGTGAGTAAAAAAAATAAAGCAATTTAAAGACATCAAAAGGGATTAGGAGATGGGTCGATATTAGTTTTACATTTTGACATTTCTCGGTACTTGTTAGCTGGATAGTAGACAATTGTGTGGGAAAATATTACTTGAACATGGTCGAACACGTGAATATTTAATTGTAAGCTCAAAACACGAGATATTATTACTAATTCTCACAAAAACATAAACTGTTAGGAGGCAGGTCGATTTTTTTTTTAATTTTTAACATCTAAATTATCTGTTTAGTCATTGCATAACAACATTATTGTAACAAAATCTTGTACAAGTAGCATTTCATACCTGGGCCCACCACATCAAGAATTTGAAGATCATATGGTTTGACCTTTCGAGAAATCGGCGAAACCATGGGAAAAGAAACAAGAGCACACAGAGCATGTTTGGGGACAGGTAAAGGACAACAGCCAAGATGAACACAGAAGATGAGCCTGGACCACTGCCTAGCCAATTCTTCATTGTCTGCGCAAATCCCGTAGGGTTTTTCAAACCATACGCATAAGACACCGGTAGAATGATGACCCACGCCGCAGCCGTAATGACCTTTAAAATGTATCTAAGCTGGACATGAAATGACATAGTCTTCCTCGCTTTCCAACTAAGAATTACATCAAGAATGGCTGCAAGATGGAGAAAACAAAATATATCCTAATTCAAAGTCTAGAGAAAACTATAAACCAAACTAATACTTGACATGCTTGCGTTTTACTATAAACCAAACTAATACTTGACATGTTTGCGTTTTACTATGTTACAAAGTTGAAAGTAAAGGTCACTTTGACTTATAAGAGAGCCAAACACAAGGAAACTTTCGAGGTTGGAATGCTTAAGAGCATTGAAAGTGGGTAATTTTTTTTGTTTGTCACTTTTTTTTTTTTTGGGAGTATATTATTTTAAGAATATGATTCACTTACCACACAAGCATAAATGTATAGGATGATCCAAAAACAATTCTAACAACCATTTTGTTCCTAAATTGATTAACCCAAAAATCATATCATTCAACAACTTCAGTGTAAAGAAAATATGACCAAGTTTGAAGGGTGCGTTTTCTAATATGGTAATACTCTTTTATGCAATTTTTGCATTGCCTCAAAACCTCTTTATGTACCTGCTCAAATATTGGCTTGAATTTGATCCAGTGATGGGCCTGAAGGCTCACTGCTAGTGCATGTTAGAAAGACCAATTTGTTAAGAGTGTGTTTGGAGGATGGGTTCAAACCACCCTGATTTGAGTTTAAACAATATTTTCTCTCAAAAAAAAATCAATTTAAAAAAGTTCTGCTACAGTGTTTTCTTATAAAACCTGAATTATGGTTCAAACCGCCTGGTTTAAATCCATCTTCCAAACGGGCCGTAGTGATTTTCAAGAGCAATATGTTAATGGAAACTTAAGAGTTCATCAGAAATCAAAACATGCACAGTCGAATGATTAGTGACGAAAATTAAGATCAATTTGACATGGAAGAATTGAAAGGGTTTTTAGCGCGTGCGCATCCCTAAACGTTTTCTCGTTTGGCTCTTTTCTCTATGAAACTTTTTCCTTGTCCAATTTAAATCCTGAATTCTAAAAGAGTGGCAACTAATTCCAATCATTGCTGTGGGTGATAAATTTTAGGAAATTTGGGGACTAATCTTGGAACGAGATTGACAAAAAAAAAAGATTTTTTAGGGATGAAAGTACCAAACTATAAGAAGTTCAGGGGTAGAAGTGCTAAAACAAAATATAATTTAACTCCATTAATAACGAGAGTTAACTGCTATAATTTTGTAAATTTAAGGACTAAAATTAGCGTTAGGGAGAAAAGATCAGGTGGGCTCCACAAAGCATGTAGGATCCACAACCACTCTCTTTTGCAGTGTTCATTAAGATAAACTACTTTTGTACATACCTTGTGTAAGCTTCAACACCGCGGCAGTAATAAAGATACTGAGGACTTTATTGAAAATATCAGCATCGAATGTTGTACTTAAATTCCCCGATCCATTCCATGCAATTATGATCATTGCCTTTATACAAAAAGAATGTTACAAAGAAATGCATAAGGCCATACATGACAAAACAAACTTATGGGAAAATGAAGTGATGAAAAATACAGAAAAATAAAGTAAATAAATAATTACCTGTAAACACAAAATGTAAAAGCTCCACATTCTATCAAAGCTCCTAAATATATGAGAAAATGAGCGAATCTCAACAAAATTTGTTTTTCCAATCCATCTATGGCCAGTGTGTGGTTTCCTTTCCTGAACATGATGAGTATTCATTACTAAACCAAAATCATGTCGGGAATAAAAGCAAAAAAATTTTGAAATGAAGAAGATATTGAGAAAGTATAAAAACAAGGGAGAAGGAGGGAAATAGGCCAAGATTTAAGGGGAATTAAAATTAATAGGCCAAAGTTTTAGAAAAGTTAGTAAATAGGCCAATTTGAGGTAAATCTGGATTTACAACCACATGAATTTCCAAAAATACCGTTAGATGAGAATGGCCCAGTCAAAACCCCACTCTCTGTCATACTCGTCTCTCTCTCTTCGCTCTCTTTACGTGGTAAACCCGGGATTTACACGGTAAATTCTGGATTTATCAAGATAACTTCACTTGAAGGCTTATAATGAAAAGGCTGTAAATTATGATGGTAAACTCAGGATTTACGTGGTAAATTCAGGATTTATCAAGATAACTTCACTTGGTACCTTATAAGGAAAGGTTATAAACTTTAATGATAACTAGGATTTATCAAGATAACTTCACTTAGAACCTTATAAGGAAAAGATTTTCAACTTTAATGGTAAACCCAAGATTTATGTGGTAAATCCAGGATTTATCAAGTTAACTTTACTTGGAACTTTAAAATGAAAATACTATAAATTGTGATAGTAAACCCAAGATTTACAGAAAATCAAAAATCAAAAAAGGAAAAAAGGGTAAATTCAGAAAATGATAAATTAAAAACATAAAATGGCCTATTAATTTCTAAATGCTGGTAAATTGGCTATTTACTTCCAAAACTTTTAAATCTTGGCCTATTTCCTACAATTTCCATTTTATTTTTTTTAGAAGACTTACAAGGCTAATATGCAGTTCAAAACTTTCATAAACATGGTGGATACTAGATAACAAGTATTCAAAATTAACTGAATGAAAATTGTCAAAGTAGAGAAGGAATTGGGCCTATTGAGGGTTTTGTCTTTCCCTTTGTGGCTAGAAAATAGACTCCAATATAAAAAAAATAATTAGAGATTTACTAAACTTACCCTTAAAAGTGCATACATATAGATTTTTATCATTTACTCTTAATTAATATACTTTTGACTAATATAATTATTTGACTAAAAAAGATATTAGTCAAGAGTACGGCATAAAAATCTAGACTCATGGGCTCTAAAAGGTATTTGCCTCCTTTCTCCACAAATATTTCCTAGTAGTCGTTTAGGCCTCATATTCATTATGTATAATGTTCATCATTGTTGCTTGTAAATAGTGCTAGATGTAGTTTTCAATGGAATTTTCTATCTCCTCTTTCCTTGAGACTAGATCTACAAGTTTGGGCCGGGTTAAACGAGCCAGTCTGAGGCCCGCTACTGTTGGCTTGGGCCCGGCCCGACCCTAACATTTTTGAGTTTAGGGCCAGGCTGAGCCATCTCTCTTTTAGGACTGGGCCGGCTTGGCCCAAACACCATAATTTTAAGGATTTTTTTAAAAATACCTTATAAAATTTTGGGCCAGGCCTGGCCAGTCCTAAAAGTTTTGGGCTTAGAACCGGGTTGGGCCAACCCTTTCTCTTTTAGGACCAGGCCGGGCCAGCCCGGAATTTCTCTTTGGGCCACCCGGTCCAACCAGGCGGCCCAAACTTACACCTCACATGAGGTCAATTGTAAGCCTTAAGACATTTCCTTTACAAGCAATCCTATTTCTTTTCTGTGAGAATAAAGAAACCACCTTTAACCAATATGCCCACCAAGGGGTTGACCGAGGATGGTGCTTAAAGGGCCTATTTGGCAGAACTTTTAAAAGAGAAATCTTGACAAATATTTCTTAACAGTACATCGGTTTTAATTTTTACTTCTTACTCTTAATTAATATCTTTTTTAATTAAATAACTATACTAACAAAAGGATAATAATAAAAAATAAAAGATAAAAATCTAAACTCATGTATTTTTTAGAATATATACAGCAATTTTCTCTTTTTTTAGAAGCCAGCTTAGAGCTTCATAAGCCTGAAAATATCTTTAAAAGTGTTTTGGATAAAATATTAAAAAAGCCTTTCAGGGGTGTTGGAAACTTTAGCAAAAGAAGCCAAACTAGTTGGCTTCGGCAAAAGCACGCGAAGTTACTTTAGAAATAAATTAAATACTTTAACTTTAGAATTAAAAATAGTTTTTTTGAGCTACTTTTAAATTAAAATAGCCGGAATTTTATAAAATTAGAAAAATAATTGTTTATTAGTGAATCATTTTTAAGTCAATGATAAACCATTTTATCATTGATTACTTTGATGGTTTAACATTGATTAATCCGTATCAGTTAGCAATATGCCATTTCCAATCAATAATTTACCAGTTTATCAATGGTAAACTATTGGTATATCATTAATAAACCAGTTCATCAATGATCAACCAGTGTACACAAAAGGAGGGTGGAATTTCCTGAAAAACGTTCAGCCATTTGCTTAAAAAAATAGTTCAGCCATTTGTTGAATAAAAAAAAAAATATATATATATATATAAAAGTGGAGAAAACCGACTATCCACCTAATTTTCTCATATTTTTATTTGTATTTACCTTTTATTAGCTCTTTAAATTTTTTTCTTTTTAAAACCAAATACTCACTAAAAGATAAAGTTTTTTACTTCTCTCTTCTGTTATATAATAAATAAAAGCAGAAGTAAAAGCTTTGAAGGGTAAATTCCCATAATTTTAACAATTAATAAGTAGAAAATGCAACCAAAAATTCATATCCAAAATCATTACTTACTCTGTCTTTCTCAATTTGAGTGTCTGATGCAGGCTCGCTAAAGAAAGCAGCATTCGAACGCATAGGCCAACCTAGTCGAAAACAATCAATAGACCTATAATTTTACACACAAAAATATATATATTAATATTATGATCTTCAAAAAGTCTCATTTGTTGAAGAATGTAAGTTAAGAAACAAATGAACCTAATAGTACCAAAAGTATTCATTCAAATCATCATAGTTTCTCCATTGAGAATGCTTTGACTTTTCCTTGCTTCTTTGAGCTTCCTAAGGAGAGAGAAAATAAACTCAATTGAGATTTATGAAAGGAAAACCAAAAAAAAAAAAAAAGGAACTTAGGAAAGAAAGTTTTTCACTGCAACTACCTTTGCAATTATATTATATATTGGAGTCACAACTTTCCTTAGGAAGGCCTCTTCTTCACCGCCGTAGGCCGGCTTTACGTTCTCACCGGTCAACGAACTTACATGTGTGGCCAACATGCCATACAATTCATATGCCATCTAGGAAAGGGAAAATATGGACTATAACATGTTAATGAAAGTTTGTGACAAAGATTTTTCTGTGACAACATGGTAAGACAAAAATTTCTTTCAATGTGCCAAAGTGATGTACAGTAAGCACACTAGAAAAGAAAAAAATTATACATTTATAATAGAATATTCATACATGATGATATATGTAGCAAAGGCATTCTGGCATGAATCTGAGATTTGCAGCTTCTCCCCATATAAGAAGATATAAGCCCATGTACAGTAATTTTTTCTGCTGAACTTCCTGTTGAATGCTTGGCAGCCTATCAATAAGAACAGCCAAAAAAAAGTATGAATAATAAAACAATGCAAGTCCTATGCATATATAACAATGCAAGCAGTGTGATTGGTAAAAGTACGAAAAACAAGTCAAAATAGATACCAATGTACTTTTACAACAGTTATTTTGAGAAGCTAGTAGATTTTTTAAATTTCGACTTCTGATTCTACTTCTACTTCTACTTTTGCACAATCCTAATAAGAGCCTTAGGATGTTTGTTTCTTGTATTCGTCCCTGATTCTGAATCATGATTCATGGTTCTCTACAGTGTTTTTTTCTCACAAAAAAACACACGTAAAACGAGAATGGTTCTGAATCATGATTCTAAATACATAAACCAAACGTCCACTAAGTATAAGAAGCCTCACCAAAGGCTGCTTTTGCGGCCCAAGTATTTGCACCACTTCTTGTAGTTCTTGAAAAGCCTCTTCATTACTTCCGTCAGTGCGCGGTCATCCAACTAAAAGGAGAACAAAGATAGTACTCATTGGTGTATGCTCTTCTAGAAGAAAGAATAAAGGGAAACAAGAATGTGACAGGAATAAAAACCTTAGTTTTCTGATCGAGATTCGGAAATTGCCGCATGTGCACATTAGCAAGCAAAAGAATCAAGTGCTCCCTCTGGTTTGCCACATTATGATCCTGAACATTAACACAATGGTGAGTTTGCGATCGAGTTTGCTTTTAAGAATTCTCTTTATCGGTTTTCGCGTCCATCATAATCCAAAAGCTGTCTCTTGTTTTTTTCTCAAAAATGCTTTAGAAGAGGAAGGCTCTAGAATCAATCCCAAATGGGCTCAAAAACTAGGCAAGTATGTCATTTTACCTGAAAACCGAACATGTACCTAAGCCAGTCTAGAATGTCATCATCATCTTTCCTTTTGTGCCCCTTTGGCCAAGGCAAGCCTCGAATATTACGAAGCGCCGAGACGACTGCTTGAATCTGCACAACATAATAAGCAAGCAATATGATATTGCCGCAATCTAATTCTAAACACGGAAATTCTAATCTGCTAAGACTATATAGAATATTACAAACCTCAGGATATCTCATGATAGCATGATTTTTACTATCAGGATCAAGAGGAAGAATGTTGTAAGGCACGTACATCTGTGATTTCTCTTCAACCTTAGTGTGAGCTTCCAAAATCTACAAGTGAAAGTTATAAAATGTCATAATCAATAGTTTAAAAAACAAAAATATTCTCATCAGAAAGAAGTATAAAAGGCAGTATTGTTTCACCTCATCAGGGACAGCTTCCGTCTGGTTGACAGCTCTCAAAACCTCGAACAGAACCTTCGCAGTTTGATACGCTCTCGCCAACCGAGTGCTGAGTCAGGAACACAAATACGCGGCGTTAAATCAACCATCAAAACAGAACAACACCCTTTTAATAAAACATTAGAAGACTAATCATGGTACTCTATAAAGCACTAACCGATCGGCCTTATCAGCATGCAGATCCCGGATATATTTCTTGTAGTAGTTTTGATAAAAGTTCTGCATTTCGCGAGCATCGCTTTTTACCTTTCCCGCCAATGTTGTCTTGTCCTCCTGAGAAGAGCCAAAGACTTGAGTATTTTGTTCAATCTCAGATGCATAGACCATTGATAAAATGTGGCAAGAATTTTTACAATAAAACACCAACCATTTTGAAAACCAGACAAAAGATTTTGATTTTCTTTAATCACTTGAGGTCAACATCATAGAATAACAACGTAATACTTTTGTTTTGTGAGTTTAATAGTGCATACTATTTAGGAACACTTAAAATGTCATGAACAAGTGAAGTCAGGGCAGGGCTTACCCTTTCTAGACGTTGAAGAAGTGCGGTTTTGAATTGGCGAACACCGCGTCCGCTAGATTTGGGGTCTAGTCTGTGAGCTTTCTCAAAGGCATAGAACCGACCTAATTTCAACATCGAAAACAATATGCATTCAAGTTCAGGAACAGAAACACCTACTCAATAATGATATCACTATGGAAGAATAATAGCATCTTATCAAGCACAAACACATAGAATTAGAAAAAAAAAAAAAAGCAACATTTCACCAATAAGAAGACTTAGTACTAATGTCCTTTACCATAGACTTAGCTCAAACACAACATAACATCAATACAAAAGTACTAAACCTTGAAATAAACTCTTGTCCAACTATACTTGAAATGAAACACAAAAGCAATAATGCAATTAGACATGTAAAGCATCACAGCAACTTACATAAATAAGCGACTCTCGGGTTTTCCAGCTCAACTTCGTTGGCAACACGAAGGATCGGAGCGATATCGACGAGGGAGGAAGGCACCACTTCACTGTCCAGCATTGGCTCCCCAATGTTCCTGGCAGTCTGAGCCCGCGCAAGCCGCTGCACTGGCTCATCAGACCGTCTGTTGTAAGCCATATTTTTAAAGCTTAACAACCCCCTGGTTATTTCCAACTCAAAGCTCTTTCTCTACCTGTCAATCCCAGCCAAAGAATTTGTTGGAGAATTTCATCAGTTTAATGTCAAAGAGTGATCAAACTACTTAACATTCTATATATTCGGTTTCTGAAAAACATTTTGGGATTGATCGGAGAAACCAAACATTATAGAGCGTAAAAACTTGGAAATTTTCATAACTTGTGGTCTATGCAAACAGTAAGGTTGACTTTGATGGACTCAGATTTAAATGCGTTGACTTCCCTTATCACTAAAGCAGCAGGACAAGATGAAGACTCTGTTCTTTGCTGAAAGAAAAGCAGAATTCTCTATTTCTTCAACAGAAGAAAACTAAATTCGAAAGAGAAAAAAATATGGAATACAGAAAGAAACTGCAAATTTCTAATAGTATTAGATTGATAAAGAGAAAACAGACCTTAACGGAATCATATTGATCTTCTGGAGGCCAAAACACCAAAAACCAATCATAAATTCAAAAAACTTCCAGAACATCAAAAACAAAAAAGATTGGACAATTCTGATATCAAATGAGGTTTTTCCAAACTACAGAGAATAACTTGGAAATGAATAAACTTGGAACACAACATAGAGAGAGAGAGAGAGAGAGAGAGAGAGAGAAGAGAGAAGAGAGAGAAGCAAGTTAACTCTGACCAGTTGAAACAAGAGACATATATAAAGCTTCCAGAAAAGAATTCCCACTTGAATGACCAATTGATAAAAAATAAAAATAAAAATAAAAATAAAAACCGTCTTGAATGCTTACACTAGCATAGTTTATAAGCACATGAAGAGTCACAAATATTTTTTTGTTTTTTTAATTTGTTATCAGAGCACATGCATTTCAAGTCTGCTGAAGTGCTATTACTTAAACAAGAGTACAACTGACACAAGGCAAGACCAATAATTTGTTTTTTTTTTTTTAATGAAGTCAATGTGTTGTCGTTTTTAAGTTTCCTTTGACCAATCAGAACTTGCCAGCTCATGAGCTTCAGTTTCCTACTATTTTCTTACTTCTATTCTGTCCTTGATCAGAAATTTCATAAATTTTAGGCCTCGTTGATTTTACAGATTTAAATTTTAAATTTGAGTTAAAATTTAATATTTTTTTAGAGTTTTTTTATTGTAAGAGATAAAATTAGATGTGATATTTTTTAAAAATTTTTTACTGTAAAAACTTAAAATTAAAAATTTAAATCGGTGAAATGAATGAGATCTTAATATAAAATAAATATTTAGAAAAAAAAAAGATAAAAAGAATTGGCAGTAACTAAAGACCCGTTTAGTTCGCTGATTTAAGTTTTTAATTCGAGTTGAGATGTAATTTTATGTGAGAGCTTTTTACTGTAACAAAAAAGTTAAATGTGATTATTTATGAGAACTTTTTATTATAACAAAACTCAAATTTTAAACTCAAATCAACGAAATGAACTGAACGAGGCCTAAAATATAAACCCCACAAGCAAAATACAAAAAGATCTCCTGAGCTAGAAGCTGAGTCACCATAATAGGCATGAAGAGGTTAGAATCCAGAGGAGTACGGTCCTGGAAATGTACTGTGGGCACTGTATGACCTCTAAATATAACTACCATATTATTCATAACTTTGAATAAAAATAAGAAAATTTTTCTCGTAATAAAAAAAATAAATTATTGATAATTTTTTAATTTTTATATTATAATTTATATAAAAATTTATTTAATTTATATATTTTTAAAATTTAATGTGATTTTAATTAAATTTAACTGTTAAAAAATAATAATACTATCAGTAGAGACAATTGTTGATAAAAGTTCTTAAAAATAACAAAAAAAATGTGAACGACCCGTCCTATTCAGGGGGCTGAGTCATACTTTCCCGACCACATCACTTGAATTTGTTAGGAGTTGTTCTTTTAGAGTGTAATTTAAGTGTAATTTTTTAGTTGAATTTAAGTTATAACTTGAGTTGAAATTATAACTTGAATAAAGTTAAGTAAAGTTGAATAAAATTGAAACTTAAAAGATGTGAACTTAAATAAAGTTGAAACTCGAATTATCTTTTTTTAAGTTTTTTAGACAAAAGAACGTACCCTTAATTTTTAGTTCTATATGCGTATTTTATTAAAATTTCTACTTTCTCCTCTAAAAATATAAAATTATATTCGTCTGTCCTCTTTAAGAATCTAAAGATTTATATCCATCCTTACTCGCTTAATATCTTACATTTGTTATATGTAACTGTGACTTTAGAAAGTCATAAAACAAGAAACTTTATTTGTCCAAATTTAAAAAAAAAAAAAATCAGTGATAAAGGCAGAAAAAATAACCACTGTAAAAATAAATTCTCTCTCTTTTGGCGCAATTTCCTTTTCACCTTTTAAGTTAAAAAAAAATTAAAATTACAATTGAACAAGTGGTTGTGAATGTTTTCTTTCAATGCAATTCTTTTTTTTTTTTCGTGATATGTTCTTTCAATGCAAATTTAGATATTGCTTCTTCCACTTCCATTTTTATATAATGACGGTGTCACGTTCATGCATTGTGTCATACACACGTGTAAAGTTCACATCACTGTCTGGCGACTGACTTCCTTGGTTTTTCTCTTTTTTTTATTTTTTATTTTTTAAATTTCTAAGTTAGACGCCTACTTTAGTTGACCATAAAGAAACTAAATGATAGGACTTTCTCTTGTAAAAGACGTTTGGCACGTAATAATCAGTTAAAATTATAATTATATTTAAAATTAATTTTATTTTAATTTTTATAATTTTTTTTAAATAAAAATATTTTTAAAACGGTGTTTGGTGCAATAAAGATAAAAAATAAAAATAAAAATTATTTTTTAGTTTAGTGTAAAATGAGAGAGATAAAAAATGATTTTTAACTGTTTTTTTTTGTTTTCATTTTCTCCTCTCTCCAGCAGAGAGATATTAATGAGTTTTTTTATACTGAAAATAATCTCTTGATAAAACTACCAAATGTATTTTCAAAAATGATTTTTGTCTGAAACTAAAAACGTTTTCATTTTCATTTTCATACAAAAATAAGATTATTTTCGAACGAATTTCAAACGCGCCTTATATTTTTAAGAAAGTAATAGAGAGTAATATTATTTTTAAGAATAATATAATACTGTGTTTAGTTACATATAAGAATTGTTTCAAATTCTCAAGAATAATGTATTACGGTGTTTAATTGTGCATGAAAATGTTGTGTTTAAAAAAAATTGAGAGAATATAATTTTCACACTTTTAGATTTTTTTAAAAGAAAAAAATAAAATTTTAAAAGAATGAACTCTCTTAATAATTTTAAAATAAATGAAAATTCAAAGAAAAAGATTTATAAATGAAGATTAAAAAAAAATGTCCTTAATGATCAATAATGAAGATAAGGTCGTGAAATAGAAAAACAGCTACCACTAGTCATTTGATGATGCGATGACACTGATAAAGCTACTTATTTCTCTTAAGATTATTTAATTACGCCACCTTTTACTTTTTATATAAACTTTTTTTTTTGCCGTATTCTTATATTATATCAAAAAAAAATCAGAAAAGCAACTATATAAATGTATAATACAACACGATTGAGGATTCACTTTCATTGTTTACGACAAATTCCGTTAGTAAATCTTATCTATTATTATTTTTTATTTTTATTTTTTTGCTAGCTAGCCAAAATTCTTATTTTATGCACGTATTCAGTCTAATAAAAGTTGAAAAGAATTTCCCAACAACTCAATTTCAAATTTTCACATAAATGAAGTGATTTTTATATAGGATAATACACACACGAAGTAAATGTCAAATTCTTCTGAAAGTTTCTTAAATACATGTAAATATAGTTTATTATTCTAATGTGATATTCTGACTATTTATAACTATATATACTAAGATAAGATATTTCTTAGCCTAAGAAATTAAGAAATTTTTTAATATAAATTAAAAATTAATACTATGATGTAGTACATATTGTAAACAACACAAGTGTCTACACAAATAAAAAGATTACAAATAGATAGGTTTTCTCAGGTATTATTAATTATTCACTAATCCAAATGGACAAACTTTAATCTGGCAGCCGTCCATTAATATTGTCGGTTTTGTTGATATGCTTTCTTCCTTTCTATTTGTTGATAAGAAAGATATGTATGCCTTTCATGGCTCTTTTCCTAGCTAGGAAATTAAGCTCAACAGTAGTCAATAAAGTTTGTTGAAAGTTTGGAATCTGTTGAATCAATGACTGAAAAAAAAAAATTTAAAAACAAGGCTTTTTCTCTTTTTTTTAAAAAAAATATTGATATTTTTTTATTTTTAGTTATTAAATTTATATTAAAATATATCTATTTTATATATTTTTTAATTTAATATAATTTTAATTAAATTTAACTGTTAAAAAAAATAAAGAACACAAGTATTCTTAGAAATGAGATAACACTTAAAAAACTTCATAGAATTTAGTCATAATTAGCATATACTTGCATGATAGTGCAAAGGTGATGTAACATTAAAACAATTTGTGGGGTCCATTTACGTTGCATAAATACATGCATAAGTGGTTTACATATTCATGAGCATTCTTAAATATATATCTACAAGTACTACAACGACATGAAACCACAAAAAAATTGACTTCAAATCAATCCAAAGCCAAGTAATGTTTCCTGATACTGTTCCATCTCTTGCTTGGCTAGCTGGAAGTTCAACGACATAAATGTTCTGTTGCTGACATGTTCTCTCTCTCTCTCTCTCTACAACGACATGAAACCACAAAGAAATTGACTTCAATTCAATCCAAAGCCAAGTAATGTTTCCTGATACTGTTCCATCTCTTGCTTGGCTAGCTGGAAGTTCAACGACATAAATGTTCTCTCTCTCTCTCTCTCTCTCTCTCTCTCTCTCTCTCTCTCTCTCTCTCTCTCTCTCTCTCTCTCTCTCTCTCTCTCTCTCTCTCTCTCTCTCCCCCTTATGAGCAATTTGTGTTTCTGAAGATTGAATCTGATTAAAAGGAATAAAAATCACAAAAGTAGCAATTTGCGGATTTTTTTTAATATATATATAACGTAGTCATAACATAATAATACGAAATATTTCAACTTTTAAAAGCTTAAAAATTCTTAATCAAAACCTGGAAATTCTAAAATTTAAAAAGAAAAAGGTGCTTGAAAGGACTTTAATTAAAACATAACTTTGTGGAAATCATATTGAAGCTATAAGGTCAACTCTAAAAAATAATATCTAAGTTTGACCACTACAAGTCTTATCCTCATATGCACATTCACTTTGATCTGCTTTCTCGTTTACTGTGCTTCTATCTTGTTGACGGTAAAAATTTGTCAATAGAAATATAAAAAATTTCAAAATAGTTTGCGCGAATTTTATGATCTAAAATACAATTAAAAACAATCAAATAGTAAGAACACACGAGAATTATAATGGTTCACCATTGATTCAAGAGTTACGTTCACTGTAGGAGAAGAGAATTCACTTATTGATCAGAGAGAATTGCACTTTAATTGCTCTCTATGAGACTTAGGGATTTCTCGACCTACAATCCTTTATTTATATCGTTCCCCATCGTCCTAACTGGTTTCCCTATTTAAGTTGGGGATAATTTTATCATCTTTTAGGATAGTTTCCTAAAAGATAGAGATTACAATCAATCAAAACAATTTTCTTGCTTAAATTTCGTATATTTGAATTACAAATAGCAAATCCCGGAGCAAATCTCACATATCTCTCGACTTGTGTAGACTCGACTTCATAAGCGCTCCCAGAACCATCTTCGTCTACAATTGTTGGTGTAGTCGTCCTCATGTTGTCCTCTGCGTCTCCTCAGAGCGATCAACCTCCTATGTATGTTACACCCTTAACTAGCGGTCTGCTCCAAAGAGAGTTGCCATCCGACTTGACAACTAAGGCTGATATGTCCTTGATTATTTAATGCACTTATTTATGACGTGTGGGCCCCATTCAATGCCTGATTTAGGGTTTGGAATTTTACCCTACAACATTTGCCTCCCAAGTCGAGGCTTTCCTATGGATTGCTTCGAGCTTTGACCATGTAGGGTTTACGCCTGGACTCTCCTCCCCTGAGTTTGCTTGCTTGCGAAAGATTCTAGTCCTAAACCTCTCTAGACAATGATGGTTCTGATGCGGAAGATGCTTCTTGAGTACGGCCACAGTCGCATCGATCAATTCAACCTACCAAATGTCACTTCTCTATTTTGAATGGATGAATCTAGGCTGTTGGATCACGTCTCTTTAGTTTCTCGCTTATGCCCTCGCAGTTGGATCATGACTTTTCATCTCCACCATTTTGATGAATAGTTATTTCATCCAACAGTCTAGAGTCGAGGCTGTATTGCATTTTAAAGAGTGATTCCTAAACAAGCTTTTTATCACTTCTCTGAAAAAATCGCCGAGACTCTGCAAAAATCTCTTTAAAACCTCTAATTTCTCCCATTTTTGAAGCTTTCTTAAGTATTTCTTCACCAAAATTTTAGACTTCTTCCAGTCTTCAGTTCGACATTTTCTATTTCTGAACTTCTGGTAAGTTTTTCTTCAAAATTCCCCCCTTTATCCTTCTGTGTTTGCTGAATATGTAGAAATTTTGTGCTTCTAGTTTATACCCATGTTGCCGTGTGATGATTCATGCATTAAGATAGTTAACTTACCTTTTTGGGGTTTTAATCGATTTTGAGGGATTTTGAACCCTTAATTAAACTTCTGGATTTTCCTTTGAATGCTCGTCTCTACATTGAATGCTTGTCTCTACATTAATGCTCAACGTCTCACAAACCATAGGCTTTTCAGGCCATAAGTTTATATATAGTCACTTTAGTGTCGACTATTTGGCTAACTGTCCCTTCTCCCCTCTTGACCCTTAGGGTTCTAACACTCTTTTTCCCTTTTAGAATTAACTATGGCACCCACAAAACTTAGTCATCGAGAGGAGTCATCATCTGCATGCTTAGTGAGGCCTGACTCACCTTCAGCAAACGAATCTTGTGGGTGTTCTTCTTCAACTGAAGATGACCCTTTATTAAGGAAAATTCCAAACCTCGAGAGGATACTGACAGCGTCTACCGCAAGGTCGAAGGTGATGACAACGATGAAGAAGATGTGACCACCATGGTTGAAACCGTCGACCCCTTAAGGAATGTTTAGCAATACACGGGGGGCATGGTCTCAGGTTACTCTGCATCCTTCACGGGCATTCCTTGAGATATGATGAGCGGCGATCCTAGCAGGCCTTCTTTCTCCGCTGACTCCAAAGCACCAAGGACACAAAATCGGGACATTCTGAGGGCATATAAGGATGGACACAATGACGGTATATGGTTTGAATACATTCTTCCATACCATAATCATCATTATATGATATCATAAATCATAATCTTAACTTACCATAATCATAAGTCTTAATCTTAACATACCTTAACCATAATCATATCATATCATATCATACATCATAATCTTAACATACCATTACAATAAGCATACCATATCATAAATCTTAATCAATTTCTTACTGTAACCGAAGCCTTCTCAAGTAATCACGTACTCTTATAAGCACAATCGTGCATAAGATTTAAACAAGAATAACACGTTGATAGTAGTTAAAATCTAAAACACATAAAATCATCTCTAACTCAGTGAAATCAAAAGGGAATGTTAGTACTATGAGTTGGGAGAAATTTTTGAGGAAAAATTGGAGTTTTGAATGCTTTTTGGTGGGTTTTCTATAGCTCCTCTACGTAGTTACGCGATTTTTTTTTTCTATAGAAAGAGTAAGAGAGGGAGTGAGAGAGTAGAATATATTTAAGCTTTGGGAAATAATCGATATGTCATCTTCTCTTTTTCTTTCTAATTTTATTCTTCAACCTAACTAAATTTCTATTGGTTATGGTGTATAGTGATTCTCAAACAACCAATCAGAAACTTTTAAAAACTCCATCAGCTTTTCTGTTTTGACTAACATATTTTTATAATCGCGTTTTGGGTCCCATAATTTCAAAAATTATGTTTCCATTCCGTATTTTGACAAAATTACAAATTTGACCCGAAATAGAATCTTTGTAAACCCTACTCTTGATTAATTTCAATGCTCTGATTAAGAATTTGATATCAGAAATTTCATCCGGAATTTAATTCACTAAGTTTTGCTCCAATTAATGTTTTCGGGAAAAATGTACCTTCGGACGATAATTCCGTCAGGTGACATGTGAGTTTAAGACATCTAAATCCCCTTAATTGTGATGAGAAAATTATAAAACACATAATAATCATAATGCTCACCACAAAATTTTATAAGAATCCAAGATAGAGTTAAGGAGTGTTACACCACATAATATAGGGAATGGAAAAAGAAAATGTCAATCCTTACACCTCTTCAGTATTGATTCCTTGTAAAATGGAATGAATACTAAATTTACTTATCTAACCCTAATGAATTACTATATAGTCAATAATTATCAAATTGTGTAAAAGGACATTTTAGTGATTACATTCATAACATTCTTATTCTTAAATTTTAGTAAGCATAAGAAAGGGAATGAGATTGTTTCTTATTACACCATCTAATAGTCAAGTAAACACTTGAAAATGAATGAACGACCCTTATGCCTTAACCCTATTACTTTACTTTCCTTTTCAATGTCATTATATTCTCATTACATCCCTTTATGGGTTGGTAAACGCGCCCTTGATACTTAAAACAAAAACAAAAACAAATTTTTAAACTTTAAGATCATTCCTGTTTTGTTAGAGCTACAAGTTCGGACAGTCCGGCCCAACCTAACAATTTGAAGATGGATTTTAGGGATGTCGAGTAAGGTTAGGCTGACTGCTCTTTTAACTGAATCGAACCAAGCTTAAAGAGAAGAAGGTCTACTTATTCTCATTCTAAAGCCTAACTGACCAGGTCGGGTTGGCTCAAACATTTATAAGGTGAAATTAAAAAAATTAAAAATTACTTAGCTTGAAAATACTTCTTGACTTAGAACCTAGGCACAACCTGTCCCGGGAATTTAGGCTAACTCAGGGTTTATGCAGGTCGAACTAAGCGAAAATGATTGGATTTCGGGTTGGATCAAATGCCGATCCATTTGGCTCAACCCAAACTTACAGCTATATACTTTGCATACTCAACTTTTAAAACTCTCGTCTTGTCCCTTAAAGTTTGACATAGTCCCTCTTAGCCCACTATGTTAGAATTCCTCTTAAAAATAGTTAAAAAAAGAAGGGATTAGTCTCCCTCAATCTCTCATGTTACAATTTATGTTGAATACAAACAAAAAAAGACCATATAATTTCGCTCAACTTCATCTTTTTTATTTATTTGTGACAAAAATCCTAATAAAACAGTTTAAGTGGTACTAATGCAGAAGTTGTAAGAAGAAAGAGTAATGCTAAGGACACCAACTCAAATCTCAATTTTTGTGTATCAACTGATATGTCATGTAGGTTGTTATCTTTTTACTGGTAGATGCAATCTCTTTGATTAATTGACATAATAATGACTTAAACATTTACTAATATAAAAGTACAATGTACATGTCACGTCAGTTGATACATAAGAGTTAGAATTTGAGTTGGTATTCTCAATGCTATTCAAGATAAAGTGAGAATTTTCAAAATTAAGGGGGAAACATAAATAACCTAAAGTTGAGGGGCACGTCTGAAAACAAGAATAAACCCAAAAAAAAAAAAAGAAAAAAGGCATACGGCATTACCCAGAGACTGGGGAAGCCAAAATCCAAAGCCCCAAAAACACCAAAAATAATAAAAAGATAAAGTGGTAAAAAGAAAAAATAATGGCGGAAGAAGGAAACGCAGATGCCCAACTGTTTCAGCTCCTTTCAAATCTCCTCCATCAGGTAATAATTATATTAATATCACCATCCATTTCCTTTATCAATTCATACGTTTTTTTTTAATATCTTAGTTGTTCAATTCGTTTTTTGTTTGGTGTCGTTTGTCGTTTTCTTCTCGATCCTTGCGTTGATCCACAAGAGCGTGGCCATTAACGATCTGGGCTTGATCCAAAACTCTTTAATTCGGTACATGGGGTGTTTTGTTCTGAGGAATTTGAAGAATTAGTAATTAAAACTAAAAAAAAAAAAAAGAAAAACTGTGTACAGAAAAATGCCGAAAAATTTTGACTTGGGATTTTGATTTTTTTTTTATAGCTGAAAAGAGTATGAAAGCAGTAATTTTCTGGGCTACAATTGAATTGGGTAAAATTTATAGAGTTAATTCTCATAGGCTCAAGAGAGATTTTTATGGCTTGTCTCAGGTTTCTGAATGTATAAATCAGCAAATAAAGGTGTTCCTTTTTTTTTTGTTTGTAATATTTTGATTGTGCATCTGCGACGAGTCTTCAATGAATCGAAAAACTCCTTTCATGATCTTCAGTAATTTTTAGACTTTGTTTATTTCATTGATTCGAGTTTAAAATTTGAGTTTTACTACAGTAAAAAGCTCTTAGAAACAGTCACATCTAATTTTTTTACTATAGTAAAAAGCTCTTACATAAAGTCACATCTCAACTCGAATTAAAAACTCGAATCAGCGAACTAAACAGGCCCATAGTGTAAACAATTTTCTTTTCGTTCGGATGGTTTTATATATTTTTTTCTTTATTTTGAATTTTTCAAGTTAATAATACTAGTGTGTGTATATTTAAACTCGGTTTATTTCACTGATTCAAGTTTAGAATTTGAGTTTTGTTATAGTAAAAAACTCGCATAAAGTCACGTCTCAATCCGAATCAGCGAACTAAACGAGTCCTTAATTTGAAATTACCGAAGCTAGTTGGTGAGCAAGATTTGGACCCTATTCGTTTCGTTCGTTCGAATTGAGAATTTGAGTTAAAAAGTAAATTTATGCGAGAAAAAAACGCTGTAGTAGAAAAAGTTAAATTTAACTTTTTTTTTTAGACAAAAGAACACTGCAACAAAAATTTAAGTTGTGATCTGAACGATTGGAGCGTTGGTCTCTCTAGTATTACTGTTTGTAATATTTTCTTAAACAATTTATTCCTCTTTTACTTCTCAAACCTTTTGGCAAAACGGGTTGTAAAATAGACAAAAATAAAACAAAGGACGAAAACTTCTTATATCTTCCACTTCTGTAATTCGGATGGGATCTTGATCAAGTTATACGGTTGAAGTGTGAAATGGTAATACTCGTTTACTTGTTCTGTCTCATTATGCTTGTACGGTAATCTCGCATTTGCAAGTCATTTTGTTCCGGATGAAAGAAGTGGTCCTAAGACTGACCTCTTTTCCGGATGTGCCGAACCTCGATAGCACATCCATCAAGGAGATACCGTCATCTCTGTTGGTTGCACACCCCCTTTAGATCATTCTATTTGTGCGCGAAAAACGACTCATCGGTCTGCTCCTTTTAATGGACATTCACAGCCGTCCCCCTTTAGATCGTTCTAGTTGTGCTTGAAGTGGCCCTAAGCTGTTTGATTTGATGCATCTCTAAAATGGTTTTTTGTTTTGTTCTCTCTTTGTCCCCCAAAACGGAGTTTAACTCAGTAGTTCGAATTTTTGCAGGTAGAATCATTGACCAATCAAGAAGAAGTCGAATTGCGCTCCAAAATCGAAGCACTTGGATTAGAGGTTACGAAAGTTCCTTCAAATTCAACACGGAATCTTGATGAGGTACCTATTGTTTCCTGTTTCGGCCCTTTTCATGTGCTCGAATTTTACTCATTTCACTTTGAAGCTTTTCAGTGTAAGAACTTTCTTTCGGCATTCTCCCATTCCAGGGGTGAAAACAAAGCATCTCATATTCTTTCTTCTTGTCTGTCCAACTATAATTATGTAACAGCTTGAAATAGCCAAGGAGTTGGATAAATTATCATCCAAGTTGGATGATGTAGATGAGATGATATCTTCAGCAGTGGCTGCAGATCCACAGGTGCAGTCGCTCTTGAGCGGTACTGCCAATGTATGGATGCCGGTCATCACTGCTACTGCCGATGAGCGGCGTAATTTTACGGCATCTATCGAAGATGACAAACTCCAAGTCCAAGGGAAGGCTTCTGATTAGAGTTGTGTTATAGGCTTCTGACTAGTGTTTGCTTTGTCTCCCAAAACTAAACACAAATGTGCTTGTTCTGATAATATTGGGCGCGATAGGGGGCCGGGGGCAGCGGTGGGGGCGGGGAGTCATTTTTCATTGTTTTTCTTCTTCACAAATTATTTGCCGTCGTCTTTATTAACTGCCCCCGTAAAATTAAAGAAATTGAATTGTGAAGGGGAAAATTATGAGATCTTCCTGTGTTCATTTGAAATACAAATAATATGTTCTAACATTTCATTCTTTGTAATTACAAAAATTATCTCTTTACATTGGCAATTCCTTTCGAAGCTTTACCATTAGTGTGAGATTCGCTCAAAATTAGATGAGTATTGTTTTTGAATAACATTAGAGACAATTTTAAGCCAACCAAAAGGTGTCAAAAGTATAAAGATAGGTAATCTAAAAATTGCAAAGTTGAATACTATATTTTACGATATTTATATTTTCCATCTTGTGAAATAGGTTGTGTAGTCAGGAAAAGAACAAGGAAAATGATGCATTACTAATGAAGATCAAATTCAAGCTTTTCAGTACTTAACATGAAAGTATTGTGCATACAATCTACTTTGTAGAAGCCAAATTAACAATCAGACCAATCAACCAAGTTATGATTGATCCAACGATCCAAATCACTAGAAAAAATAACAAGAATCCAGCCAAAATGGTAAGAAAAGGAGGACCTTGAACAGCAGCAGCAGCATCACTCGTGTTTCCATCTGATTTTTCTTCAATGGAATCTCCATCAGAAGGATTCGAGTTCGACGCGTATGCGACAAAAACTCTTTGTCCCGTTTGCCATCCCAATTCACCCTTGATTCTGTGTTGTTTTTTTTTTTTTTTTTTTAATGAATTGGGCAGTAACCATCACCAAGAAAAAAAAAGGTTGGATTAAATTTATTTTCGAATGTGAAATACTAGCATGTGGAACACAGTCGAAACTAGAATTGCACAACTTAATTCTTTGGTTGGTCCTTTAATCCTTCTAAAAATCAAACTTTAGTTCCAAAATTTTGAATCCATAAATATGATCTTCAACTTTCATTAACTCTTTTCCAACACAGTTTTTGGCAGGTTTAACTTTCAAAAAAAAAAAAAAAAAAAAAGAGACAATAACATGTGCCCTTTTCTGTTAAAGTTAAGGTTTGTGGACTTACTGCACCAATTTCTAAAAGTTTAGGGAGTAGGGACTATTCTTATTGAACTTAAAATTTAAAGTTTGAGACTAGAATGCAATTTATAAGATAGTCAATGACTAATCAAAGAATTAATTCAAGTCATAATGACAAATTGAAACTAATATGCACAAACTAGTACACATTGAAAATTTTGGCATATTCAATAGATTAATACCTATGGAAAAGACAAATGGAAAGATTATTTCAATAACATCCTTGAAAGAGATAAATTCATCACGATATAAATATGACATTTTCATCATCATCACCATTCGTAATACAACTTCATGATATAAGATAGATTATCAGCAATGGTTCCGTGAAGGAATAGAGATTCATGAATTCTGCAACAAATGTCAATTCTCCATAAAATAATCAGAGAAAGAGAGGCAAATTATATTCCTATTAGGGTGAGATAATAAAGTGTCCTAAACATCAGGGTCTAGTCAGACTAAATGTGCAAGGTGACCTAATGATCAACCAAAAAAAAAAAAACAAAATGGTAAACTAGATTTTCATCAATTAACTTCATCCATTTTTTTCATTTTTACAGGTAAATATCACTGCAAAAATTTTTCTGGGTGCTCTACATTATGCAGCTTTGCTGATTTTCTTCCTGGACTCTACAACCTATATTTGGTACATTTTCTCCGACTATACTGGGAATTCACTAAAACTACCACATAACAGAGTGGAATCCAGTTCCCCGCTAGTTTTTTTTAATATTTTGTCATGTGACTGTTTTCTTTTATAGACAAACGTGTAGTGATGCATCATCAGTGGCGATGAAATGTAGCTTCCGATAAAGCAGAATAATGACCGTAAAGCTATTATTCTGGCATTTATCGACTAGCAGCAACTACAAGCAAAAACACGTATCACCAAAGATACAAGTACAAAATCAACAAATCCCTTCAGATAATCACTTTCAAGAAGAGAATTCTTACATAACAGCAAAAGTTTACACAGAGAGGAGTCAAGCAAGTGGGTTTACTTGGACCCTTTATGACCTGCTAAAGATGCTAAACTCAATTCAGCCTTAAATCTCAAAACATAAATTTCTCATTCTCACTCAAGCATGCCAAAACTTGAGAATCTGAATTTGGATAAGAAATCTAGGGGTTGTTCTTTTAGAACAAAACTCAGAAAAAGTTTGAACTCGAGTTACAATTTTATTTAAATTTATGTTCTTTTGTAAAACTCGAGTTTAAACTTAAGTTTGAACTCGAGTTTAAACTCGAGTTTAAATTTTTCTTTCAACTTGAGTTCATAAACTCGAACTCAAATTAATGAACAATATTTTTTTTTATTCTTAAAAATGTCATAACTTTTTCGTTTTAATTCCGATTGAGATGTTTTTTTTCTATGCATTCAAAACGAAAAGACGAATAAAACCCCACCCATATACCCTATTAAAATTTTTCATCACCATTGAGTTTTTATTAAAATACTATCTAAATACAAATTTAAGTTTTGACTCAACCAAACAAACTCAGAAAGATTCTCAATTCAAATCATAACTCAAATGTGCACATCCAATCACAAACTCAAATTACAACTTCAACTTACAACTTCAACTCAAGTTATAACTAAAACTCAACTCAAAATCATCACTCAAATCACCCTAACTCAAAAATGCAAAAGAACAACCCCTTAGTTTCCTTAAAAAAAAAGAAAAAAGACACCCTTTCAATCTAGAAGCCTTAAGATAAGCACATGCATATCTACATTTGGACTTACTAAAGCCCACTAGCATAATCACAGCATAATACAACTTCAAAAATTCAGAATTCAGATTACTACCACAAGTATAAAAGATTCAAGAAAGCTTGACAAAATTTGAACTTTCACAACAGGAAAATGGAAGTACAAAAAAAAAAAAAAAAAATGAAAAAAAGAAATTATTCAAAGAAGCACAAATCCTATGCGAAATCCTACAATGGTCTTCATGACACCACCCTATACTTCTACTATTATGTTAACCTGGATTTTCAACTTTTTTGGGTCCATCCAATTCATCATGCCATATGCAATGCATCACAGGCCGTAATATTTCCCCTTGTCATCGAAACCCTAGCCCATTAACAGATCGACAAACAGTGAAGAAATCCTTATTGTGGCATGTGATCATGATGTAATCCCCCGAACTGCAAGTCCACCCATGACCTATGACTAAACTAAACCACATTTGATTTCACTGTCCTTTAATATTCAGGGAATCACCAACCTTTACAATTCCACCACCATGTCTTCTTATAAGAGTTCTATTCAACTGTTGTTTATTGTTTCGACAATCTCTGTTAAAGTGCCTTTTCTTGCGACAATACCAACACTTTTCTTTTCCTGTTTTATTCTTTGCCCTGGACTTTGGTATCATTCTTTCCATTACCATTGAACAAGACTCCGTATATATCAGCAAATACTGATCCCATCAAACTCCTACTGCTTCAATGCTACCACAACATTCTCAATAGTCGAAGTTTCACGGTCATGCATCATGATATCAAATATCAATCAAGTACTTGTAATAATATGGTGAGGATTAAGGACCACATCAAGGATAATAGCTCGATCTTCTTCATCCATTTCAACATTCTTATTTCTTTAGACGGAATACAATCTTGTTCAAATGATTCAAGGAGTTCTTTAATGGGTTGACCTGCTTGCCTCTGAAGGGTGTATAATTGCTTCTTCAAATACAACTTATTGGTAAGAAACTTCAAACATAAGCCATCAGTTGTTTCCTCTTCCACCTCTTGAAAATAGTCTTTCTCCTAAGCACAAGATAGTTGTAACACGTTCTTTCTCCATAACCTCATATTTCCACTAATCTGTCTGTCAAAGAATTTGGCAAAGCAACTCTAACCTTCAAAGCTTTAGCAAACCCATGTGCACTAGTCCTAGAGGAGCATGCGCCATTACTTTTCATGCATGGAATTATTTTCTCCACTAAAGTTCCCCACCTCAAACTCATTGTTCTAACACCATTTTTTGGGAGCAAAAGTCGAACATGACATGAAGAACTTGACAAAATAGAAAACAAGAAAGAAACAACACAGGATATAGACATCTAAAATGATTCAACATCTAGCCCAAACGTATATAGAAACCAATAAGAAAATCTGATAATTCAAGGAAATATTTACAAGGATACAATCTTACATTTAGGAAGACACTATCTTACATTCATTAGTGTTTCCTCATGATCACTCATCTAATTATAAATGCAAAAATAGGAATAACACTTGATATTATTAGAAATGCCTAGAAAATATCAAAATTCACAAATTTATGATCACTTATTATTATTTGACAGGGAAAAGACTTTTGAAGTTCGAAACAAGTATTACCCAAACTCAATGTCCGTTAATGTAGGTTTTTTTTTTTTTTTTTTTTTTTTTTTTTTTTTTTTTTTTTTTTTCCCTGCATAAGGTTACCAAAAATCATCCTTATTTTGGATTGTTGCACATTTATACCTTCACCTTGCAAATTTATGTTCAATCCCTAATTTTTTCAAATAACGATAGATTTTGGCCCAAAAAGGGTCTTTTAATGGCCACATTACACTTGGGAATTAATAGATGAGCTCCAAATGTTACGTTTTTCTTTAAAAGAAAACTTCCTTCCAATGATAATGGCACCAACTACAAATGAAAGAGGACATGAAGTCCTCAAAAACCAGAAAAACAGAGAAATAAAAAAAAAAGGTCACTCAAAAGTACATGGCAGTTAACCCCTATAATATCTTTCACGTTCAAAACAATCAAAGAAAAAGAAATATCCGTAAAGGCTTTATCCGTGTCGAAGAACTTCGTCTTCTCAAAAAGATCCACAAACTCGATTCCCTTATCTTGAAAAATCCTGGCATTTTCCGGCCAAAGGTAATGAAATCATAAGACTACTTCACCTATTAGAACAAAAGCCCACAGATTTCTCCACATCAAAGACTTACACTGAGCTAGAAAAATCCAAAGGAACCTAGCTTTGTTCGGCAATATATACTGTGATTTCCTTGCAACAGAATAGTGAAGGAACAAAAAATTCACTTTTTTTCCCTTTTATCCAGCTCAAAACATTATACTTGTAACTGAAAACAAACTCAAAAAGCCCAAAAGAATCACCTGCTTTGTAGATGGGATGTATTTAGACCTTTAGTTTTTCACATTTGTTTTCATTTTGTACAATTTCTGAACTACATTGACAATGCTTTTCTGCACCCAATCAACCGTCCTTGTTTAGACTTCAGAGAAGAGTAATGAGAATGAAAATTAGAAGAGCAGCAATGAAAGAGTACTTGATAGCGGCAAGAAGAATGGCCAACGAGATAAACAAGAGCTGCCACAACACCTGAACACTTGCCCACGTCAACAGGCCCGTCAATCCGACAGCCAAGATGTTATCAGGATCTGGGTTCAACAGCTCGCCCCACCTTATGCTATTGAATATTGACCGTCCGTTTTCCTTCCCCAAACCATCACGACCGTTGGCTCCCAAGCCTTCACGTTTCTCGCCGTTCTCTCCTCTCTCATTAGGATCTTTCCTCAACTCATTGTTATTGTTGTCATTGCTAGCAAGTGTCAGAACTCTTGTTGGTCTTCTTGGGGCATAGGATTTAAGGAACCCATAAGGGAAATAGAGATGGGTTTCCTTCAAAGGTCTGGAGAGAGGTCTTGATGTTAAAGACACTGGGAGACAAGTCCTTTGATGTAAGTGGGTTGTGAGGCCTATCATGTTTTCATGTTCATGGAGGTTGGATTTTCTCGGGAAAATGAGGGAAGAGAACCTGAGATTTCAGGAGTCGATTAGTTCATTTGAAGGTATAAATGTGCAACAGTCTAAAATAGAGGGTTTGATATATATATTTTAAAAACTTAGTTTACTAACTAAATTTCTGTGTGCAAGAATGTTGTGCCACAGAAAATTTTGCACCTTTGATATCATATATGCCAACATCTAAGAATGTTTTTCATTATCACAAGGTTGGCCTACCATAAATTGAGAAAATCTTGTACCTACACTACACAAGAACTTTACACTGCCCTTCACTTGGCACTACTACAGCTACTCGCTATTTTTATCTCGATAACTTTCAGATGGTTGGTCTTTTACTCGAGCACCCAAAATTGAAACATGATTTAGGCTCACTTTCATATTACTCAAAATCACAACTTTACTCCTAGGAGAAAGAGAAGCGTCGCTAGAAAGTAGCTAAAAGAATCTTATTGTAGAAGTGCATAATGCATTAGCTTCAGTTTATAGCACTTTTGTGCACCTTTACCAAACAAAATACTCACATCGATTTATATGCAGAGTACATATATAAGGACTCTAAAGGCAATCGTAAACTGGCCATTAGCCAAATCTGTGTTACTGGTTAGCCACAAGCAACGGATGTTGTTGTGAAGTTACAAACTCTATATACCTATAAGAGCATCTCCAAGAGAGCTCTCTAAATGTTAGTTAAAGTTTAACTAAAATGGCTAGAAAGCTATTTTAGTTAGTAAATTTTAAGTGAGTCACTCCAACCATATCCTCTATTTTAGCTAAACATAGATTATTTTAATATTTTTTTTGAGTTTAAAATATAAATAATTTTTTTTTTTTAACTTTTACTTTATGTCAAAACTAAGAATAAAATAATAAAAAGAATAAAGAGCAAGCCACTTCTTGCTTATAGCTAGTGGAAAATGCAGCCTAAAAGACTAAAGTAAAAAGTTGGATGGATGTGATTTTACTTTTACTGCATTGTTGGAGTTGCTCTAAAGATCACCATTGCAGAATGCCACCACAGAAGAACCCAATTTTGAGAAAAAGATCCATTAATCCTTACCCTTGACCTTTCGCTACATTAGTTTCAGCTAGTTCAAAATGTCCTTCAAATGCAAATGAAATTGATATTATATTTATCTCCTTTAAAGCTACCCATTATTAGAAAACCGTACAAAATTAAACCTTTTTCCTCCTCCTTCGAGTTCTTATCAGTGACAGATCCAGAAGCCCCAGAATTCTTAAATTAGACTAATATGAGTTCAATCAGTGAACTTGAGTGAAAATCACTTCGGAAATACTGAATTAGATCACTTAGAACATGAAAACTCACTAATGGGCATGAAAATCTGAGACCCGGAAAACTCATTATATGCTTAATTGGAATATCTGAGTTCAACTAATGAACTGAAGTGAAACCCACTTTGGAATGCTTAATTAATCTTCTTATAACACAATAAATCACTAATGGGCATGAAAATAAGAAAGAACAAAAAAAAAAAAAAGAATGAAAAAGATAAAAGGAGTTTACCTTAAACCAAGAGAAGTTGGAGAAAGGCGTTGGCTGGAGATTTTGGTAACATTTCTATTGGGACGACCAAACCGAGGAATCGCTTGGGATGAAGACAATGGTGAAGATGGTGGTGGGAATCGGACGGAAGAGCCGGAGAGAGAGAAGGATGCCATGTTTTCACCACCGAACCCCATTTACTTTTGCTTCTCAGTAATAATAAATATATGCGAAAGTGAAAGAAAGATTCCAGAAAGGGGAAGGAAAGAAAATGAAAAAGAAAAGAGTAATTTACACAATGGTCTCTAATAGTTGACACTTTGATCTCTATTTTTTCTTTTATTTTTGTTAAACTATTCTTAAGCTCTTCTTTGTTGATTGATGACTCAAGTTATATTAATATGGTATTTTTTTTATATAAATTTAAATTTAATTTTTTTTAATAATATTTTTATTTTATATACACAATTTAAATTATGATTTAAATTATATAAATGAATATAAATTTAAATTTAATTTTTTTATTACAGTATTAACAATTAATTTCTATAAATGCTTAATTTTATTAAAATCAAAAGAATAGAAATTAAAGTATCACCTAGAGAAGAGTTTAATAACTGTCAATGCAAATTCTTCTAAATGAAAAATAAAAATATGAGCATTTAAATAAGTGTGTATATACTTTTTGTTATACCAAATCATTGCTTAAAATATAATAAAAAATTGCAAAAATAATTTTTTGTATTTTAATATAATATTAAGGTGTTTAGTAGAACACTCTGTATTATATTGTTTGAAAAATACTACAATGATTAATAATTATACATCATATATTTAATATGAAATTGTAATAATACATATTATATTGTTTTGTATAATTTACTTAAAAGACTGTGTTTAAAAGTATATTTCAAAAATATTAAGAACCCTTTGGGAAGGCTATTTGTATTATAATTTTCATTCATATTTAAATTTTTTATGAGAGAACTATGAATGATAATTTTTTCATTTAATTTTTTTGTGAAAAAAAATACGAATCATAATTTGAGTTTTGAATATACATGCCACCAACCCTTAAAACTCAAGTTCAAAGTTGGGCTATGGGATTGCGGTCAAGGTCTAGGATCGAGTTTAGAACTAGTATCGGGATTGAAATTGACATAGTGATATTGAGTTTGATGATTGACACAACAAAACAATATGTATGAATGACTAGACTTTAAAAAATGAATGATGATGGTCCCGTTCATTTCGCTGATTCGAGTTTAGAATTTGAATTTTGTTATAGTAAAAAGCTCTCACAAACAATCACATCTAACTTTTTTACTACTGTAAAAAGCTCTCACATAAAATCACATCTCAACTCGAATTAAAAACTCGAATCAGCGAACTAAACGGGAAATTTACTCTTAAAAAATGTATGAGTTCTTGATTAATACCATTTTGTTAATATATTTATTTGATTAAAAAAATCATCAATTAAGAGTAAAAGGTATAAATAAAAAAAATCATCAATTAAAAGTAAAAGATATAAATCATGATGCACGCACTCTTTAAGAGTATTTATCTTCTTTCTCTAAAATTTTATAAATTTATATACGAAAGCAATGACGTTGTTTGTATTTCACATTTTCCTAATGCAACCTCTTAAAAACCTCCCAAGCCGTCCACTAGTGAACCCCTAATTGAGTGCACCCCTAATGGATTTTTAACACATCCATCCAACTTTTTGGTTGAGTCAGCCTAGAGAACTTACAAAAAATGCAGTCCATTCAAACCTTATAAAGTGGATATAGATAAGTTTCAAAATCCTAAGAAATTTCTAAATCCTAGGAAAGAGCCAAAAAAGAAGTTTACAATATAACCCACAAAGGAAATAACTTATAAAAATGGAAGCACCCTTCTCTGGTCTGTCTCCACTTCCAGCTTTGAAAACGCCAACCATTTCTCTCTCTACACTTGCATATAGATATAGAATAAAAATACCACTTTTCCTTCTCTTTCTCTCTCTTCCTTCTGGCTCGAACGATGATGAGCCGCTTCACCGACTCCGCTCTCCGGTTCAAAAAATTCTCTTCAATAGCGGTAAGTGATCGTCTTATTTATTTATTTTTGAATTTCTGTTCAATAGCGAGAACAAGAGTTTGAAAAGTTTTCAATTTTCTCTCGCTTAAATCTGTCTTTATATCAATCTTTTGATTTATTCGACTCTTACCCTTAATTTGTTAGTTTACGTATGAGAATTCCCATATGAAAATAATTTCTGAACTGATCACGAAACCAAGAAACTTATAATTGGAGATGATAAAGAATTGTCAACACTTCTCTGGGTCGTTGATTTTCTTTGTTTCTTTTCATTATTTATTTTACTATTTTTTGTGTCCTGGAGATGATAAAAATGGGGGTTCAAATTTCACTTTTCATATTGTTTTATGTTTCTTTATTTATTTTTTGAACCCAGGTGAGGATTTTGTAATTTTCCCATTGAATCTGGTGTGATTGAATGAGGAAAATTGGAATTCTATCAAGTTTTTCCCTGCCTAAAAGGAATTTACTAGCAAAAGTACTGCCTTGATCTTACCTAACACATTATTATTATTATTTTTTGGTAAATAATGGTATTAGCACTTCAAATCTTAAATGAGAACTTTATGGAGGAAGTGTTACTGATTAATGATATTCAGGTCAAGTCTGGAAAGGGGTCGAATACTAACTTGAGAAGCATTGAGGATGAAGGTATATCCAGCATTCGAACGAGGTGGTACAGCACCTGTTTTGCCAAGTTGCAGGAGGATGTTCCGAAGGATGATAATCCCGTTTCTCAAATGCTAGTCGATTCGTTTGGACGGCTACATACTTACTTGAGGATCTCGCTAACAGACCGTTGCAATCTGCGGTGTCAATACTGTATGCCGGCAGAGGGTGTGGACCTCACTCCAAAACCTCAGCTTCTCAACCAAGACGAGATTCTTCGCGTCGCCAATCTGTTTACCAGCTCTGGAGTCAATAAAATCAGGTTGACCGGAGGTGAACCAACCATAAGGAAAGACATCGAAGATATATGTTTAGGCTTGTCTAACTTGAAAGGTCTGAAGACACTGGCCATGACCACAAATGGACTCACTCTTGCGATGAAGCTTCCAAGGCTCAAAGAGTGTGGACTGACTTCTTTGAACATTAGTCTAGACACATTAGTCCCGGCAAAGTTTGAATTTCTGACCAGGCGCAGAGGGCATCACAAGGTTCTGGAGTCAATCAATGCTGCTGTAGAACTTGGTTACAATCCTGTTAAAGTATGTACTGCTCACTTATGCCTGCGTATTTTTAGCTTTTTGAAGTCCATTTTTCCAAATGACTACTTATTTTTCTGATGTGTTATGTTCTTGAACTTCTTATTAGTGATTTTCATGAGGAACAAGATATTGAGAAATTAGGAATTGAAAGTCATGTTTTTTTATTAGGATTATTTAGCTTTGGTAAGTTTATCTTATTATTGTGTTGTTGCTTCTTTATAAATAGGCCTAGTGATTGTTATTTTGGCGAAGACATTGATTAATGATGTTGAATATTCATTATTTCTCTCTATCCCTACTTCCCCCTCTTCCTTCCTCTCCTTTTCTCTCTACGTTCTTGCCCTATTCGTCCTGCATCAGGTTTTGTGTTGATTGTATCCTTAAGGTTTCTTTTTCACTGTGCCTTGATATGCTAACATAACACACACTCTTATGTGTCTTCACATTTCTAAGCTTTCATTTGACACATCCATTTTTCTCTGTTTTAGGTGAATTGTGTAGTGATGCGAGGGTTCAATGAAGACGAGATTTCTGATTTTGTGGAACTGACCCGTGAAAAGCCAATTAACATCCGCTTCATTGAATTCATGCCCTTTGATGGAAACGTTTGGAACGTGAAGAAGCTAGTATCCTATTCGGAAATGTTCGATAGAGTGGTAAGGTACAATTCTGACAGGTATTCCCTCTTTGCATTTGTCTGAGTATCCCTTTTTCTATAAGCTAAGTCGTTCATCATCACTACTGAAACAGGTAAGAGAATATCCTAGCATAAAGAGACTTCAGGATCACCCAACGGATACAGCCAAGAATTTCAAAATAGAGGGCCATCAAGGTGCAGTTTCTTTTATCACATCAATGACCGAGCATTTTTGTGCTGGTTGCAATAGATTGCGTCTTTTGGCTGATGGGAATTTCAAAGTATGCTTATTCGGTCCCTCAGAGGTATTTATTTGTCTCTTTAAACAACACTTAGGTTCGAATATGACATAAATAATATGTTGTCGTTAGTATTTCCTCATTTGATGATTTAGCAATTGTGCTGCTGGAGTATTGGAAATTGCTCGTGTGGTTATTTCTTTTTATTGGAGACCATCCCTAAGTTATTTTTTCCAATGGAATCATCATTTCGTTTCATCAACATCTGTGATGTATGACAGGGATATATTCATGTAAATGCTTCATATTAGGTGAAGGAACACATTGATTACGCTACAGCTCATACTCGTTTTCACTTCACCCACTCATTGTTGTGCTCTGATAAAGTACCCTTTTTTAGTTCCCTTATTGATGCATTTGAGCAAAATGTGGAATATAGTTAGCTGTAGCTGTCTACTCATGCCATAATGGTGCTCGTTTCGCTAAGTGGCCATGCTTGAATTGTACTATTCAAAATTTGGTCTCTTAACTAGTACATGGTTTTAGGTTTAAGACATTGACTTATTTCTTTGTCAATCAATCCACAATTTTTTTTTTCTTGTTTTTTTGTGTGTACTTTATTTTAGGAGATAGTTTAGTTGCTGTGATCATATTGCACCATAAAGGAGCCTTGAGGCTTCTCTAATGTTTTCTGATAGTAGTTCATTGAGAATATGAAGCAGCTTGGCTGCGTTTTATAAGCTAAAAAGATATTCTTCTTATTGGAAATTCTCCTTTTGCAGGTTAGCTTAAGAGATCCCCTTCGACGTGGCGCTGATGATCACGAACTAAGGGAAATAATTGAGGCAGCGGTAGGTGTTCAAAAACTTTCTACATATTTCCTAAGCTTCAGCTACATAGCCAGTAATCCTTGTACTATGGTTTTAATAGGCATAATGGGGGATTTTTGTTGCTTTGTGTAATAGCTATACGTCAATAATATGGATCATTGGTTTTACTTTTCAAATATCTTTTCCTAAATCCTGAGATCTTTGTTACGTTTGAGTAATAACCATATGTCAATATTCATAGAGCTAAATACCTTACTTGGGAATGGGATCTTCTATTGTGGGTTGATGTTATATTTGTGCATCCCAAAGCAATGATACTTTCTATGCAAAGTCAAAGCGTTAGTCCAAGGGTCCATAATGTAAGTCAAAGAGTAAGTTTTCTTCTTTGTAAGGTGTCATTAATGTTTGTAGAACTCAGTCTACTTTTAAGCATTCTTGTTTCTACTTTTCAAGAGCCAAATAGTCGGTCAAATTAGGTTATAAATTTCTTCTTTCTTATGGAGTCATAATTCATTAATGTTTATTAGGAACTCATTCCACTTTTAATCGTTCTTGTCTTGCAAGAGTAACAACTATTTCTGTTTTCTAAGAGTCATTAATGCATTCAAATCTACTCATATCAATCTGTACCACCTTATATATAAGTTTGTAAGCCTTTGAAATAGTTCAGAATCTAATATCTTCTTTTAGTTTGTAAGATACAAGGTTGCCCCAAGTATGTTTAAGAAAAGATTTCTAGTAGTGACAAGGGTTATTGTGATTCTAGCAACTTTTTTATTGTTTTTTTTTTTTCTTTTCAACGAACCAGGAAGTCTGTCAAATATGTGTGTATATATCTATATATATATGTATATATATTTCTGTATCCCCAACCGCATTTCTTTTCCATTGTTTTCCCACATAAACATCTGTGTGATTCATGAGTTCCCTTGTTTCAGGTGAAGAGGAAGAAAGCCTCACATGCTGGAATGTTTGACATTGCGAAGACGGCAAACAGGCCTATGATACACATCGGCGGCTAAAGCTCGGTACATTCACAAAAGTTTTCTAATTATCTTCAGTTGGAACTCTATTGCTTTTCACTCTTCTAATGTAAGGCTCAAATTTCTTGCATTGGCCAGCGAGTGATACTAGGATACCTCTTCATTTTCCAATGGTAGACGTGCATGGAGCTGATTATCTTTTTTTCCCTGGTCTTTCCGGATTCTGAACATCGAATACATTAGGGCGTATTTTGTTCGTCATTGAGATAGCGTCATAAGCAAGAATCATAATATCAGACTCCAAGATCAACTACAGCCGCTCCTACTTATACCATTGGTAAAGTTTATAATTATGGAGGGATGTTTAGCTCCGTTTTGCTCCGTTTTTTGCCTCTCTAGTTGTTCTTTTGCATTTTTGAGTTAAGGTAATTTGAGTGATGATCTTGAGTTGAGTTTGAGTTATAACTTGAGTTGAAGTTGTAACTTGAGTTTGTGTTTGGATGTGCACATTTGAATTGAAAATCTTTTTGAGTTTGTGTTTAGGTGGGTCAAAATTTAAATTTGTATTTAGATAGTATTTTAATAAAAAATCAATAGTGATGAAAAATTTTAATAGGGTATATGGGTGAGGTTTTATTCGTCTTTTCGTTATGAATGCATAGAAAAAAAATCATCTCAATCAGAATTAAAATGAAAAAGTTATCACATTGTATTGTTCATTAACTTGAGTTCGACTTTATGAACTCAAGTTGAAGGGAAAACTTGAACTCGAGTTTAATCCCAAACTCGAATTCAAAATCAAATTTTACAAAAAAATATGAACTTGAATAAAGTTGTAATTTAAATTTAAATTTTTTTTGAGTTTCGTTGCAAAAGAACAACCCTTAATTTATCCATTTTATTGGCTTTGTAAGAAAATAGAATCTTTTACTCAATACTGTTCATGTTGTATAACTTATGTTTAATTCCAATGGAGCAGCTTTAATTACATATGCGCATTTCTCTATGTTCTCTTTTCTCTTTGGAGTTTAGCCATTAAGAATCGAGTTAACAAAAGAAAATTGTATATTCATTGTAATGAAAAATGCTTTGCAAATTGTATGGAAACAGTTTACACCTACAAGTAGTTCAGCAAATAAGGAAAAGTAATATTGGTCATTTTTGAGTTTTGATTCCTGTTGAAAAGACACTAGGTTGGTACACAGTAATCAGTAAGAATCATATTTCTAAGAAAATGATGAAGGTAATATATTTTTTAAGAATAATACATTACTGTGTTTGGTTTCATACATGAATTTTCTTTTAAATTCTCAAGAATAATACATCATTGTGTTTGGTTGTGCATGAGAATATTGTGTATTAAAAAAATATTTTTTTTAAATAAATTATAATTAGCACTAATATTTTTTAAATATTTAGCCCATAACATTAGCACTAATATTTTAAAAAGTATAAAATATAACACAACAAGTAATCCATAAAATTATAAAATAATAGGGGTCTCAAAATGTTAGTTAAAATTCTCTATACTCAAAAAGTTCTAAACATGAGACCATATACTCCAATAAGGTTCCAAACCTATCATCAAAAGTTATAAATTTAGGACCACATATAAAAGTGCAAAAGATGCCATCAAAAGATCTAAATATTGGACCATATACTCATGTTTGTAAATATAGTACCAAAAGCTTCAACCTAACTAATTCCAAAAGAGATAGAAGAAAATTTAACTTAAATTCATCATCCAACGTGAAGAAATAGCTGGTGGTGTCATGGTTTTGGACAAGAAGTTTTCCGACTCGTACTTGTTGTGCATTTGTTAGTCCTTCTACCTTCTTCAATTCATCAAACACATGCATCCTCCTTGCAGCACTATCAGCCTCGTATTGAAAGCAATTAGCAAGCCTACTAATATTCTCACCAGCCATAGCATACATATTAGAAAACTTTTGTACTGTCTCAGTTAAAGCATCAAGCAATACATCTCCACTTTGAGATCTCTTTCTCTTTTTCCCTCATGATATTAATGGTGTTGAAGTTGATTGTGTGCTAGGACCACTAATACTTGCAGTATCTATGTTCTCATCAGACATAAGCAAGGGATCATAATCAAGATAATTTTCTGTTTCTTTATCAATATCATCAACCATATCATTCAATCCCATTGTAGCTTGTCCATTAGCACGATGCTTTCCAAACACATGTTCTAACTCATCATAATAAGGAAACGACTTGTTTCTTACGCCTTTTTATAGTTGGGTGACTTTGTAATAGATATGAAATGTAAATTAAACAATAAAAGATCCTAATATACTAAAACTTGAAATTTATAACCGGTTAAAAAAAATACTAACTTTAACCCACTTATAAAACACATCTTTCTCAACCATGACACATTTATCCTTATCATTCCAACTAAAGCCACTACTGGCAGGGCTCAACATTTCAAAAATGGCATGATATTGTTTCTTCAATATCTTTACACAAGAATCATTGTGTGGTTGTGCTTTAAGCCACATTGTGGAATCTTTTCATTCATCATTTTCTCCAATTGTGTCAAGTAACCGGGCTTGAACGTACCATTATCCGCTTTTCATTTTTCACTATTAGCCATATCCAACAAGCACTCCACTAGCTTTGAATCTTCCAATGCAGTCCATTGATGCTTCCTTCCATTAGCATCCATTATGTGTACAAATTATACACTTTAATATGAAAACAAAACTAATAATACTAGATAAAACAAAGCAACATATCAATATATCTTTATTAAGAATTACAACAACAATGTCATACATACTTATTAAGAATAACAACAAAAATGTCATACATACTTATTAAGAATCACAACAACAGTGTCACACATAAACCATATCAATGGCGATTTTCCCGCCATTGGTCAAACATTTCCCTAGCCAAGTTATTTCTCCATGTAGTCCAAGCATTGGATGTTTCAATATGTGTGTAATGCTATATTTCTTCCTCCTCCTCCTCCTCCAATTGTAAAACATAAGGATCAATAGCCATTTCCCTCCTAATTAAGTTGTGAAGAAGACAACATGCTGCAATAATCCTACATTGTATATTGATCGGATATAATGATTTTCTCTTAAGAATTGGTCATTGCCCCTTCAAAAGTCCAAATGTCCTCTCATTAACATTCCTAGTCGAGGAATGTTTTATGTTAAAAAACTCTTCAGGAGTCTCAGGAAGGTATGTCAATTTATTTAAATGGTAGCGTTGTCCTTTATAAGGAGCCAAAAAGCCTTCACCATTAGGATAACTAGCATCACATAGGTAGTAATATCATGTAAATCATTTCAATATTTATTATAAAATATAAAAATGCATACACATTTTAATGTGTATGACTCTATAACTGTCAAGAAGATACATATTTACCTTGTGTAACTTTCAACCCATTCCTCCTAGATAAAGCATATTGTAAAACTCTTGAGTCAGATATAGAACCCTCTCATCCAGGCAATACATAAATAAATTGCATATCTTGAGAGCATACTCCCAACATGTCGGTAGCAATTTCACCCTTTCTGGAACGGTACCTAGGCGTGTCTGCTACATATATACATTGGCCTTGATGTATGTTCCATCAAGTGCTCCCAAACAGTTCTAAAATACAAATAATAATTTAAGCCCACATACCTACCGCATATTAACATACAAATAATAAAAATTTAGAGATATTTAAAATTTTCACCTTAAATCATTTCCATCTTTCATTCGTGGAATTTTGTGGAACTAGCTCTAGCCTTTCTAGTAATACTTCATGGAAGCGTAACACCGCTTTTAAGACAATATAGAATTGGTGACTTATTGTTTCACCCAAGTGTGCAAATAGGAGTTTCATAATCCTATTTTTTTTATCATGAGCTAATATATGTAGGAATATAGCTGTCAATTCTTCAACATCCATATTTTTTGTTCCCCTCAAATTGCCAATGATTCTAAGGTAGTTATATAGGATAGCAAATGTTCTCCTCTACATACGAGTGCTTTCAAGACATGCTAAGTCATTCTCATGTGTCAATCGATGGTAATTTAGTTGGTGTAGATGATGTCGGCGAGATTTTTGATGACGATATGGTGGATCGGAAGGCAGCGGCAGCGTGGTCGACAGAAGAGTGGTGCAGTTGCAAGGCTGGGAAGGGAAGGGTGAGATAGACAGGCGGCTGGGCTGGGAAGAGAAGGGTGAGAGACAGAGATTAAAGCAGATTATTTCTTTTTTCCCATAATATTATTTTCCAGAGAAAGTGAATAACACTCTATTAGGTGGGATTAAGATTACTCCAAAATATAGTAATGTGAAACCCATGGGCTTCACTTTCTTGGGTTTTAAAAAAATCTAATAATTGTACCAAACATGAGAATCTGAAAGATTCTCATTTCTATCCCTGAGATTACCCCATACTAAACACCCGCTAGGAGTTTTTGATTGATGAAGTTATGATTGTGTTATTGATCTATGAGGAGAAAAGGACCTTATTCTCTATAATTAATTTCTCAGAAGAACATTTCAGGTTGTCTAGTAAGTCTAGCAAGCGTCCCCATATCCCAGTCCCACGATGAGAGCACGTTCGACAATGGTAAACAAACCCTTGATGATTATTATTTGCAATACGACAATCATGCCTACACTCTTGTAGAGCATGGATCCTGGGAATCCTGTCAACACGATCGCCGATTTGAGAGTTTTCGGAGAGGACAGTTACGGGACGATGATGCGGAACCCGCACCCCAGATTAATTTGGATTGCTTTAAAGGCATTATCGAAGTAGAGATTTGAACCTATTTGGTTTGCATTCCAAAACCAAATTTTGAAACGTTCAAAATGTTGGCCTTAAAATATATTTCTTAAAAACTTTATACCTTTTTTTCGTAGGATGTTTGTCATTTAGCCATTTCTTTTTTTTTTTTTTTTTTTTTTTTGGGTGCTCTCAAATGGCTAATTTTGGCCTTGATTTTTGTTGATGCCCGTTTTGATTGTTCCATCCCTTGACTTCTTGCAAGCACATTGTGCAAAATTGCAATTTGCTAAATTTCTTTAGAACTTATTTTCTTTGCAAATCATTTTGAGTTCCTTACGAGTCTTTTGACTCTGATTTTTAAATTTTTCTTTAAGATTCTGACACTGCTGATTGATGTATTATTAGTAATTTTGTTAGAAGGTCTATACAAAATCTTGTGGTGAAAAGCAAATTAACTCGCTAGTACAATGAAACATACATACTTGGAAGTTTAAATAATGTTTATATTATGGGACCTTTGTTCTATCAAAATTTGAGTTTGATGCTCTATGTTTTTGAAATTTCATGCCGGTATCTCAACTTTTTTAAAAAAAAAAATTTTGGTGCCTCGGAGTCATTTTTTAAGACATGAAAAGATAAAATTATTCTTATTATAAAAATTCATCTGTTGACCAAAATTTTAAAAGAAAAAAAGGATTTTAAAAATTATTATATCTATAACTAAACACTCTGACTGTACATTGAGTGCCACAAGAATCAGTTGAAAACAATGTTCAGCACAACTTCAAGAGGGAAGAGAGGAAGAGCACCGAACAAAAAAAAACGCAAACGTCAAAATTTTGAAGAAAGAAGCAAGTTCTTTTAATGAGTTTTTGGGTATTTGGTTACATGTATAACAATTTTTAAAATCTTTTGTTTTTAATTTCTTTAAATTTCTGGTCAATAGATGAATTTTTACAATAAGGGCAGTTTTGGTTTTTCGTGTCCTAATAAATAGCTCTGAGGTACTAAAAAAAGATTTTTTAAAAGGTCGAGATACTGACATGAAATTTTTAAAAACAAAAGATACTAAACTTAAATTTCAAAATAATAAAGGATACCAAAATGAAATTTTCCCCTATATTATTTTGACATTACCTCATAAAAGAAAACTTGTGACAAACTGTTAACGTTTGGCCGTATGATTATAATGCTTACTTTCTAATATCAACTGGCATTTTAAATAAGGTGATACAGCATTAATAAAAAATATTCACCAACATATACTTATTCAATATAGAGATGAGATAATAATTAAGATATCTAGCATTATTCCAAAATGAATGGGGTAAATAGTATTTTATTAACTATTTTTACCTTTTTAAAATGCCAAAACTTAGCTACTTGCTTAGGATGATGTACTAAAAAGCAATGTGTATAATGACAGGTACATTCACACCACATGGATCTTATATCTAATTGCCCAATTGTGGGTCCAGATATATATTAAATTTGGGGTTAAAAGATGAACTTTGTCCTTTCATTTGAAAAGCAACTATATTTAATATTACATATTTTTTTTTTTCCTGAGAATCTCCATTTTTATTTGGATATACATGAGTTGACAATTTAAAGTGGTTGATGTTATTTATTTACGGTTATTTATTTATTTTTTATTGCTGTAGTTCAAGAAGTCAACAACAAGCTCTCAACCTCCATTGTCGGAATTTCAAATATATATATTCCATAATACTTGTATGAAGGTCAGAGAGTGGGCGGTCACTTATGGATATCCTTTGCGTTCAACAAAATGCGATAAAACTTAAATAAAATGAGATAATGTACATTATTATAGTTTAGATTAATTGTTTGTTAGGAGTTATTTTCTGAAGGATATAAAGAAGTGTGAGAGATCATAAAAAACTCTTGTGGGAGAGCAACAATTCATTTGAGAAAAATGATCAAGAGAAAACTTTGAACATTTTTTTTATTTGATTTTTTGAACATATTTATTATCGTTTCTCCCTATCTTAGAAAGGAACGTAAATGAAAAATAAATTTTTTTTTCCTGCAATTACATTTTCGTTTTTTCACCTTCGTTTGAATAAAAAAATTAAAACATTTTTATTGACCCTCATTACCAGCTTCTTCTTCTTCTTCTTCTTCTTCTTTTTGTTTTTTTTGTTTTTTTTTTTGTTTTGAGGAAAGCTTAATATTTTGGGAGAATTTGTAAACTAAAATTCCATAGTGGTAATGTCTATTTATTTGTTTCTACTTTGATAGCTAGGATCTTCATTTTAACTGATTTAACATATATGCATTATGTAGAGAATATTGCAATTTTTCAAAGATTAATTATATAAATAAATACCCGAATTAATATAGATCACAAATTACACAAAAGGTATCTAATCCAAAAAAGAAAGAATTATCACAAATAGGAAAGATTTTAATGCAACTCAGATAGTTATGTTACGAACTTAGACTTAAAAGCATGAATCTAAAAGTTCTATAAGAAGAAGACAACCACAAATATAAGTACTAGATCAGAACAATGTACAAATCGACCTCAGTATATTGTACCAATCTTTAGTACTTCTCAATTATTAGCACACAAAATTCTATCGCAAAAAAAAAAAAAAAAAAAAAGAAAGAAAAAAAACCTTTAATCACACAGTTTTTGAGTGCTGATATATTTAGCTAAGATCTCAATTATATGTTGAAGGATCAGATAGAGTAGCGGAAAATAACCAAATAAAGAGAAGAAAACAAGAAAGATAGAAAAGAAAAAAAAAATTCATGGTTTAGTTTGGATCTTCATGAAAGACACGGTCCATACGAGAAGATGATCTTAAGGGAAAAGAACGAAATTCGCTTATCTCATCAATAAAGCCGTCCAAATCCGAGAAACCATCCAAGAAACTACTACTATTAATCATCTTCTCATCATGATCACCACTCCACAAATTTTCCTCAGCTTCCTCCTTCTTGATCACCACCGGAAACTGATCATCATCGCGCTTTTGGTCGACCGTTTTCTTGCTCGTTGGCTGATCATCATCGGTGGAACGAAAACCCTTTCGGTTTTGGGCACGATGATCGTCTTTTCCCCTTGCATCCCCCGCCCCTTTTCCGGTAAGACTTTGCACCAACTGCCGGAAGTTGGCAGCGTCGGTCTTTATGATCTCCGGCGCAAACACATGGATGATGCGAATCTTTGGCTTCAACTTTGCTATAACGTGTGAATCTTTGTGCATGGCCAGTTTGTTATTTGCAGAATTAGCTGAACCGGGAGGATTATTGAGTGGTTTTGGCTTCATCATCATCTTTTCCATGCCCAACAAAACAAACTCTTTTTTTTTTTTTTTAAGTTGAACTTAGGGAACCCTAGACCTCAATACACAATATTTTTTTGAGAGAGAATAAATGATGGAAAATAAGGGGTGGTTGTGTAACTGAAGAGCCATCTAGCTTTATATGTTTGGAAATTGCTATGTCTATTTGATCAAATAAAGAATTTTTTTTTAATCAAAGTTTAAGACTAGCTTAAATAGAGAAATTTATAACATGACATATATTCCAAGTGATCCAATCAATTTGATGGCAAGATTACGTTTCATCCCAAAAAAAAAAAAAAGAAAAAAAAAACAGAGAGAGAGAGAATGAGGAGAATATCAAAGAATTTGTCTTTTGGAAGCCATGTTCGGATGGATATTTCCTTCCGCAAGAGTCAATGGATCTCAAAACACTCCATGGGGTCCTCTAGCCATATTAATATTATTATTCATACAGCTTTTTGTTTTTTTTTTTTTTGGGTAGAGGGCTTGACACTTAAATGAATATTTAAACACACATTAAATATGTTGTCCAAGCTCATTAGACCTAAGCTTGATAGTAGATCAACTTGACGGAAATTAGGTTTGTTTATTCACATGTACTTAATTGGTTGATGGAGGAGATAAAAAAACTACATTCCTTGGTTAATTTCCACATATGCGTCGAAAAAGATAACCTAAACTAGGTTTTATCTTAATATGTGTATATCTTTCCTAATACCTAAGTGAGAATCCGTTTCTTTGGGTGGGGTTTCGTTGCCCACCCTTCGTTAGCCTTTTTTTTAAATATAATTTTTAACCTTTTTATTTTCCTTTCATTTTCCTCCCTATCTCTTTTTATTGCACTTTTTAACATTTGATTTTTATATATTTTTAAATATATCTCATTTAAATATTTTTCTTACAGTTATTTAAAATATTATTTTTTAATTATTTTGTTAAATTAATTTATTCTCAAATGTATCTTTACATAAACATCTTTTGCCTGTGATCCTCATAAATTTCAGCTTCAGTTGCAAAACATTTCGCAAAATTTTTTTTTCTTGAGTCTTTTTTTCCATGTCTTTTGCTTTAAATCTTTTTTTCCTCGCTTTTTTTTTATTTCTTTTATCTCTTTTTCTTTCTCTTTTTTCTCAAAAATTTGTACAACCGTTATTTTAACTTCTGCGCTAATGCCTTAGCCACTATAAAAATGTGACATTTCAGCAAAAACAAATGTCATGTTGTCATAAGAGCTCGTTCTAAAAAGGCTTGTCTTTGTTAAAAAGGGTACTATTTACAAATCACATTTTGCCAATTCTTCCCCGTTAAATTTGATACTTGATATTCTTTTTGCTTTATGTTGTTTTTCTTTTTTAGTTAGAAATCGAAATGACTATATATATAAGTGAACTTTTATGCACTTAATTAGTTGAGATTATGTCGAATGGTCCAATAAACGTTACATATTGATTAACTGAGTTTTAACATGTATACTAATATGGCTTTTATAACTTTGATTGGGCCAAAGACTTTGTAACTTGACAATGTGATATGCACTTTGTAACTTGACAATGTGACATGCACGTCTATATTTACATATGGAACGAGAAGTATACAATAACATTAATGTCGAATTTTATTTCAGTCCTTTTTTTAAAAAATTTTCTTAGGGGAATGGACAATTTAAATCTATGGTCCAGTTCTTTTATTGCAAGTACTTTAATTAAAAGTATTCTCTCTCTACCCCAGAGATCAATTCCCTTTATGCAATAATGGGCTGCATTTGACATATATGATACTTCAACTTGAGGTGATCATGGTCAACTCTCAAAATGACTGGTTAGAGGGTTGGTTAGTATATCTATTAATATATATATATATATATTAATATTTAGTATGAAAATTAATCATTGAATATAATTAATATTTGTTCTACAGTTGTTATAAATGTGATTACATATATGGATGTAGTTTTAATGGTTATTTAAATATTTGTCCATCAATGGGTATCATTGTTTTAATTATAAGATATTGATTCTATGGTTGTAATAAATTAGGTAGTTGATTAAAAAAATTTATTACAATTAATGAAATTAGATTTTTATCACGCTGCGTCATTAAATTGCTATACCTAATGAGTGACCACCGATAGAGACATAATCATTAAAAACTCATCTATATATATCATATACGGATTGCTTGGTCCAATGAGGTAACAGAGAATTGAATTAACAACTTATTAGAATGCACTCTCAAAGTTTATAAGAGCACATTTTATTTGTGTTGGGGAATAGATTATTATATGAGTTCATTCTCATTCTTTCTAGCATTTTCAGAGGAAAAGGTATATATACATATATATATATATATAAATATAAATATTCGTACTTCTACCTAATATGATATTGTCGACGTTGAGCCTGAATCCGTATGGTTTTGCTTTTAGATTTTACTCCAGAAGGCCTCATACCATTTGGAAATAATGTTCTTATAAACCATCACCTATAACCATCCCTAAATGATGTGGAACTGCACAATTTATCCCTTTTTAAACATCTTACTTTAAGGGATTGATGACTGTCACCGGACGTTATATTAACTACTTATTTTCATGTCCTACTTTGAGGTTAAACATACATATTCATTATTCCCTAATTAATCACGCACTAAGCCCGTCTCCATGGGCAGGCTAACGCCTTGCTTTAAATTCTTAAAACTCTTGAAATGAACCGACATTGACAAGTAATTTGGGATTGCTTTTATAAAATGATTTGCTTGATTATAAATTAATCTAAGATGAGGTGGAACATAGTTTTGTAACTTAAAGTTGATCTAAAGGTTTACTATAGATTATTTATGAAATACTGTCTAAATCTAATTTTAAGAAGTAAACTGTGCTTTATTTCTCAAAATCTTCTTTTGTTGCCATTACCTGAATATCTTAGAATGTCCTTAATATAATGTTGTTACCACTTATATTTTCCTTGCATCGTATTTTACAAGTATTAGTATATTCTAAAAACCCACAAACAATTCAAACTTGGCCCTAGCCCCTCTGTATAGATATTAGTCATTTGTATATAAATTAAAGTGGCCATATATTATTGTAGATGCTATAGTATTGAAATTTCCTAGCTAATCTCTTATTTTTCTCTATAGTTTTCTTTTTTCGCCGAAAATTCTTTTTTTTTTTTTTTTTTTTTGTCGATAGTAGTTCTTCATCAATTGTTCTTCTTTTGGCACATATCATGAATCATGTGAATAGGGTTATATACATTATTTTAACCTCATGAACAATGTATATCTATTATAAAATAGTATTGATATCTTTTACTTATCTCACATGCTTAACACAAGATATTGTTTAAATATTGAAGTGCATATAGATCAACCCAATAAAGTATACTAATAAATCATTATCGTATCAAATTAACAAGCTGAAAATTCTGTATATTAAAATGTTAAGGATCCTCGACTTACCCATTTTCTCTTGAAAAAAACGAGCTGGGGAACCCAAGCTCAAAGAAAAAAAAAAGGTGTTTAGAGATCCTAAATCATCTACCAAAAGATGTAACAATTAATTGATTCGTTAATTTTCAATTGGTGATATAGATCCCGTTCATTTCACAGATTCAAGTTTAGAATTCAAATTTTGCTACAGTAAAAAGTTCTAAAAAACAGTCACATCTAACTTTTTTGCTACAGTAAAAAGTTCTCACATAAAGTCACATTTCAACTCGAATTAGTGAACTAGAGGGGCCATAGAACTTTTTAGATAGATTTAATGATTACCTACAAAATAAAATTCGCTTATTGCGTATATCATTTATTGGAATGGTTCCCTTGACCCACATGTAAAAGTAGCAAAGTGTTTTAGCACTCTATTTACTAGTTTATCTCTACGTGCATCGTATCTGGAGAGTAATTTATATATTAAATTTTGATTACCATGTCATTATTAAAACCATATAAAATCTGAATATAAAACCCCAATAAAAAAAATGGTAAAAAGTAGAATTATAAGCAAGAAGCCAAAAAAACTAAAAAAAAAAAAGAAAAAAAGACTAAAATGAGGACATAAATAAATTTTAGGGTAAAAGGGACAAAAATGAAAGAACAAAAGTTTTAGTGAAAAAAAAATTAAAAACAGACTAAAGCAAAGAAATAAATAAATTTCAAGGTAAAAGAAACCAAAATGAATAAAAATAAAATTTTAGGACAAAAACATAAAAGGGGAAAAACACTAAAATAAAGAAATACATGAGTTTTAGCACAACAAGAACCGAAATGAAAAAAGCAAAAGTTTCAGGGTATAAAAAAAGGGACAAATAAAGAAATAAATAAGTTTTAGGATAAAAAGAACCGAAATGAAAAATAAAATAAAATTTCAAGACAAAAATAAAAAAAAAGTTACAAAAGGACTAAAATGATAAAATAAATAATTGTTTTTAGAAAGATAAAAATAAATAAGTTTTAAGGTAAAAACAAAGGAAAAATGAAAAGGAAAAGAAAATGAAATTTTAGAACAAAAATAAATAGGGATTAAAAATGAAATGAAAAATTAATTAATGAGTTTTAGGATAAAATAAAATAAAATTTCAGGACTAAAATAAGAAAAGGTAAAAAAGGACTAAATTGAAGAAATAAAAAATTTTTGGGATAAGAAGTAAAAAAAAAAAGAAGGGCCTGAAAAAAAAATAAGAGGGAGAGGAGGGAGGATTTTGACCAAAACGGTGTCATTTTTGTTGAAGTTTCATACGCTTTTAAGACTTCTTATATTTTAAATATAGATTACTGTAACCTTGAGCGGCTAAATAGAGTGCACATAAGGTTTTTTTTTTTTTTTTTTTTAATTTAGAAAAACATATCTCATACGTATTTCAAGTCTCAAATTACCAATATTATAATTTGCTAAAAAAAAGAATAGATCAATAAGTCGGTCAGAAAATGTTGTAGAGAAACCCATTAATAAATAAATTATAAGCTATATAGTTTAGAGTGTGATATTAGTTAAGAGA